GTCATAGGTAGTGCTGATGGTGCCGTTTTCATTCATGTCATTAGAAGATTGCGTGTTTTCTTCTTTTTTCTTTTTGTAAGAAGACAGATGGGATGGCAACTCAGAACCCCCTACTCTTTTTTTTTTCTTCTTTTTCTTGATACTGATTTTGGTCATCGGTAGTGCTGATGGTGCCGTTTTCATTCATGTCAGTAGGAGAATGTGTGGTTTTCTTCTTTTTTCTTTTTGTAAGAAGACAGATGGGATGGCAACTCGGAACCCCCTACTCTTTTTTTTTTCTTTTTCTTGATACTGATTTTGGTCATAGGTAGTGCTGATGGTGCCGTTTTCATTCATGTCAGTAGGAGAATGTGTGGTTTTCTTCTTTTTTCTTTTTGTAAGAAGACAGATGGGATGGCAACTCGGAACCCCCTACTCTTTTTTTTTTCTTTTTCTTGATACTGATTTTGGTCATAGGTAGTGCTGATGGTGCCGTTTTCATTCATGTCAGTAGGAGAATGTGTGGTTTTCTTCTTTTTTCTTTTTGTAAGAAGACAGATGGGATGGCAACTCGGAACCCCCTACTCTTTTTTTTTTTCTTTTTCTTGATACTGATTTTGGTCATAGGTAGTGCTGATGGTGCCGTTTTCATTCATGTCATTAGAAGATTGCGTGTTTTCTTCTTTTTTCTTTTTGTAAGAAGACAGATGGGATGGCAACTCGGAACCCCCTACTCTTTTTTTTTTCTTTTTCTTGATACTGATTTTGGTCATAGGTAGTGCTGATGGTGCCGTTTTCATTCATGTCAGTAGGAGAATGTGTGGTTTTCTTCTTTTTTCTTTTTGTAAGAAGACAGATGGGATGGCAACTCGGAACCCCCTACTCTTTTTTTTTTTCTTTTTCTTGATACTGATTTTGGTCATAGGTAGTGCTGATGGTGCCGTTTTCATTCATGTCATTAGAAGATTGCGTGTTTTCTTCTTTTTTCTTTTTGTAAGAAGACAGATGGGATGGCAACTCAGAACCCCCTACTCTTTTTTTTTTCTTCTTTTTCTTGATACTGATTTTGGTCATCGGTAGTGCTGATGGTGCCGTTTTCATTCATGTCAGTAGGAGAATGTGTGGTTTTCTTCTTTTTTCTTTTTGTAAGAAGACAGATGGGATGGCAACTCGGAACCCCCTACTCTTTTTTTTTTTTCTTTTTCTTGATACTGATTTTGGTCATAGGTAGTGCTGATGGTGCCGTTTTCATTCATGTCAGTAGGAGAATGTGTGGTTTTCTTCTTTTTTCTTTTTGTAAGAAGACAGATGGGATGGCAACTCAGAACCCCCTACTCTTTTTTTTTTTTCTTTTTCTTGATACTGATTTTGGTCATCGGTAGTGCTGATGGTGCCGTTTTCATTCATGTCAGTAGGAGAATGTGTGGTTTTCTTCTTTTTTCTTTTTGTAAGAAGACAGATGGGATGGCAACTCGGAACCCCCTACTCTTTTTTTTTTTTCTTTTTCTTGATACTGATTTTGGTCATAGGTAGTGCTGATGGTGCCGTTTTCATTCATGTCAGTAGGAGAATGTGTGGTTTTCTTCTTTTTTCTTTTTGTAAGAAGACAGATGGGATGGCAACTCAGAACCCCCTACTCTTTTTTTTTTCTTCTTTTTCTTGATACTGATTTTGGTCATCGGTAGTGCTGATGGTGCCGTTTTCATTCATGTCAGTAGGAGAATGTGTGGTTTTCTTCTTTTTTCTTTTTGTAAGAAGACAGATGGGATGGCAACTCGGAACCCCCTACTCTTTTTTTTTTTTCTTTTTCTTGATACTGATTTTGGTCATAGGTAGTGCTGATGGTGCCGTTTTCATTCATGTCAGTAGGAGAATGTGTGGTTTTCTTCTTTTTTCTTTTTGTAAGAAGACAGATGGGATGGCAACTCAGAACCCCCTACTCTTTTTTTTTTTTCTTTTTCTTGATACTGATTTTGGTCATAGGTAGTGCTGATGGTGCCGTTTTCATTCATGTCAGTAGGAGAATGTGTGGTTTTCTTCTTTTTTCTTTTTGTAAGAAGACAGATGGGATGGCAACTCGGAACCCCCTACTCTTTTTTTTTTTCTTTTTCTTGATACTGATTTTGGTCATAGGTAGTGCTGATGGTGCCGTTTTCATTCATGTCATTAGAAGATTGCGTGTTTTCTTCTTTTTTCTTTTTGTAAGAAGACAGATGGGATGGCAACTCGGAACCCCCTACTCTTTTTTTTTTCTTTTTCTTGATACTGATTTTGGTCATAGGTAGTGCTGATGGTGCCGTTTTCATTCATGTCAGTAGGAGAATGTGTGGTTTTCTTCTTTTTTCTTTTTGTAAGAAGACAGATGGGATGGCAACTCGGAACCCCCTACTCTTTTTTTTTTTCTTTTTCTTGATACTGATTTTGGTCATAGGTAGTGCTGATGGTGCCGTTTTCATTCATGTCATTAGAAGATTGCGTGTTTTCTTCTTTTTTCTTTTTGTAAGAAGACAGATGGGATGGCAACTCAGAACCCCCTACTCTTTTTTTTTTCTTCTTTTTCTTGATACTGATTTTGGTCATCGGTAGTGCTGATGGTACCGTTTTCATTCATGTCAGTAGAAGATTGTGTGTTTTCTTCTTTTTTATTTTTGTAAGAAGACAGATATGGGATGGCAACTCAAAACCCCCTACTCTTTTTTTTTTTTTTTTTTTTTCTTGATACTGATTTTGGTCATCGGTAGTGCTGATGGTGCCGTTTTCATTCATGTCAGTAGAAGAATGAGTGGTTTTCTTCTTTTTCTTTTTTCTTTTTTTAAAAGACTGATGGGATCAGGATGGGATTAGAGTGCCTTCATACACTCGTGCTGTAGGCACCCTAGATGGGATGGCATCTCAGAGCCCCTTATTTTTTTTTTTCTTCTTTTCCTTTTTGTCAGTTTTTTTTCTTCTTTTTTTTTTTTGTTTTCTTTTCTTGCTCTCGCTGCTGAACTCACGAGCAGGGGCACGCCGGACGGACATACGGACATGGCAAGCCCCTAGGTTTCAGATTTTTTTTTTTTTTTTTCATCGGAGCGCATAATTTTGCGTCATCTGTCCTACTCCCCGGTGGCCGAGGCTCGCCTCCCTCGTAGGATGGAGGGAGGTGCATGTATGTTGCGCGTCTCTGCCACTGGGGAAGGACCGCCGGCACAAAGATGAGCTCCGATAGGAAACCGAAACCTAAAAACGTGCCCAAAGCGAGCGTTTTTTTTTTTTTTTTGTGTGTGTGTTTGTTTTTTGGAACCGTAAAATATGCTGCTCCTGCCTTAGATAGATCTAAAATTAGTTAATTTACTAGTTTTTGACGATGCTTAGCAATTTTCTCGTCGGAACCTTATGTTTAATTTCACTAATTAAAATCTAATTAGCAAATTTGTATTAATTGTTTTGCTAATTAGTGTGTTTTTTGTTGGCAATCCTTCACGTCCGTTTTGGTTGCCAGTTTGTTCCCGGAAAGAATTTCGTTTTTTCCTTTCGCAACCACCTCTTTTTAGGAATTTTAGGAAGCCTTCGCTGAAACACCCTGTAGGCTTCATATCAAATTATCAACCATAAAAAAAAAATTAGTAAAAATTACCCCCCCCCCCCCTCCCGCCAAACGCGTTACGCTCAACATGTACAAAAGTAACTTGTGTTGTTTTTTGTTTGTAGAACAGATAGCTAAGTTAATGCCTCCAAAAAATAAAACCTAAAAAAAAAAGAAATAAAATAAAATGAAAAAAATGATTTTTTTTAACAGTCTGATTGGAACACGCGTGTCAAAAAATAAACTTTACGCAAAAAAAAAAAAAAAAGAAAAGGCCGATATTGAGGGCGAGAGATTTATTTGAAATTCTGCGCGCGAGGTTCATGACGGCACGGGTCATTCCGGAATGACCATCTCGGTCGTGAAGGCGAAGCCGCTCAAACCCTCCTCCACGCGCCCGAAACGCTCAGAGAGAAAACAAGTGGAAAGACGGTAACTGCCGTCAATATTGCTCTACTTTTTTTTTTTTTTCTCGAATTACTTTTTTGAGACGTGTGTCTCAATCAGACTGTTTAACTTTTTTTTTTTAAGGTTTTTTAAATATAATAACAGAAACATTAATTAGTTCATAGTTAACACTTTTGTAATGGGATTAACTGACTGACGAAGGCAGCAAGCACAGTGGCAGAAATATACCATGTTCGAATGTTTTAGATCTTACACAGGTCGACCTAGTTCGGACTGCGATTGAGCAGAGCGCGTCATAAGAAAGAACCAAGCTCATTCAAAACTGATAGCCAGGTAACATACAGGCAAGTTTATTTGTCAACTAAAATATGTAAACATCTAGGAAAAAAAAAAGCACGAACGGTCTTGCATTATGGCATATTAGCTAAGGTTACTCTTAATAAATTTGTTCACATTGTCAAGTAAAGTAAAATATGTAAAGCGTTAGAAACGATCAATTATGCATCCCGGCTCCTTAAAAGTGATCGGTGTATCATCGAATCGTGCTGCGATTTAGCACGTTGGTAGCCGCAGGTAATGAAATTTATGCATCAAACTTTCAAGGCATGTACGTACTTACCTGAGTAAAAGGCAAGATCATAAAACCAATAAAACATTTTCTCTAACTGCGTCCGTCTGAGCATACGACACGCATCTGACTAATGCTGTTTGCAAATAAAAAATAACTGCAAATAAAAAAAATAAAAAAAATATATATATTTTTTAAAATTTAATATTTGTATTATGATTTTTTAATTGATTAATTGTTTTATATTCGTAAGAATGAAAAAAATCGTCCCTGGCAATTAATACGAAAAAGTGCGTGCCGTTTTTATCTTGGCAAGATCATCGCAAGGAGCAGAAGTACCGCTGCTGCCATCTCTCGACTACTTTGCCAGTTAAGATTAAAAGTACTCGCTAGGTGATGCAAGCAGCCACCCAATTGAAAGAGGTCATCTGTGTGCATACATCCACGCACCTTTACAGTTGTAAATCCATTTGAGGCTCATTTAGTTTCGAGGAAAACCGCCAGGCGTCCTTTTAACGCCATTTTGTTCACGTGGATAGCAGGCAAGATGAGGGTAAGTGTCAGAATTAATTCATTTGAAGACCTCTAACAACGAATTAATCTTCCGATAGTCCCGTCAGCTTCTCCCACTGCCGTGCAGACTTCACCATACTCTCATATTTTCACACTGAACAAAGTTCTACAGGAATTTCGCCGGGGTACCGGCGTATGCCGTCCGTCTTTCTTGTGCCGGCACGGTTTCACGAAGTCTGGAATGTGTAAAGAAAAAATAAATAAAACTCTGCATGCTGGTCATGGCAGCACGGTGTTCGCCGATTCCAAGTACCGGCTGCAGCGAACAAATAGCGTCTCGTATCAGAATCGCATATCAATCTTTTGCGTATGACGTTTCAGCGATTGAGGAAACCGGCGCAATTTGTCGGTTCAATGTTTGACAAACATTTTGTTCTAGGAATGTGCGCTTCACGGCACACAAAACTGAGAACGCGGATCACTTTGCCAACTTGCAAACAACATCGATTTAATTTACTTGAAACCAATGCTCTTTGTGTGTTTCGATCGGCGTTGATCCGTAAAATTGTTCGTCGTCCATGGACATATGTTTTGACAAGAAAGGAGGTCATGGCTTGGCGACCCGTTGTTGCGGTTTGTAAAAAGTCATGAACCGTTTGTTTCTTTTTTTCTTATCTTTTTTTCTTTCAGGGAAGCAGAGAAGCGAACATGAGTTCGCAGGAGAAGTTGACGCGTATCGCGATCGTCAACACGGACAAATGTAAACCGAAACGGTGTAAGCAGGAATGCAAGAAGTCCTGCCCTGTCGTGCGACTTGGTAAGGAGTAGCGTACCTTGACTCGTATCCTGAGCTTCTGGGAGCCTTTTGAAGTTCAACTTATTGTATTTTCGTCTTGCAGGAAAACTTTGTATAGAAGTGACGCCCAACGACAAGATCGCTGCCATCTCGGAGAACTTATGCATCGGCTGCGGCATCTGCGTTAAGGTAAGCAATTTGTTCTACTGTTCTGCCACTTGCATGATCTCTTGTTGGTAATGATTCCAAACTTTGGAACAAGAATCGACTTAAAGGGAAGATGGGGCACTTCTACATTTGAGAAAAAAACGCTCGAATTACGTTCATTTGGCCTTTAGAATAACAGATATCAAAGTTATATTTCAATGCGACGCGCCGGAGAGCCACAAGAGCAATTTCAAAATAGGGCTGAAGCCCCGCCCCCCTAGCCTTGGGCAGCCAAAAGATCCTTCGATGACGTCACGGGCAGCAACTGTCTTTCGCGTTTTTCTCGCGTTTAACAATACTTACGCAGCAAATGGTATGGGTATTCGGGTTCACGGGGTAAAAATACACTAGAATTCACTTCTAACTCATTTTTTCCAAAAAGCTCTGTTGCTTCCTTTAAAAAAAAAAAAAAAAATAAAGCACAATTTTTTTGGGGTAGCTAGCCAGCATAGATATGTCGAAGCTCTGCTCTAAGCTGACATATTCCTGTATTTCACAGAAATGCCCTTTTGAGGCAATTTCTATCATCAACTTGCCCAGCAACCTCGAAAAGGACACTACCCATAGGTATAGCCAGAACTCCTTCAAGCTTCACAGGTGAGCGTTTGGTGGTGGTGGTGTTCCTGCACGTTTGATGGGCACCATAGGTGCTGGTTTCATTTCCCTTCCCTTTCACATGCACCATAAAGGGGCACTGACAGGTTATTTATGCTTGCCAAGGTTTTTTTATTTGTACATGACATATGGGAGCCCAACTACACAGAACACAATTGGCAGCTCGAAATTCATTTTCTTTCCGCCAGAAAACTGTTGATAGAGAACTGGCCGCTTTGAATTACGTTCACTCTCTTTACCGTGGTCATGTGCCGTTCTCTATGGTTTAGACGCACGCACCAAATATAGTCAAAGTCGTAGGTTATTGAATGCACATGCTTAATATTAAAAAAAAAAAAAAAAGACGCTTAAAAAAATGCGCAAAAAACGTTGATTAAAAAAAAAAAAATTTTTACACAGAGAACTGGAAGCATTTTGTGCATTCTCTGCGTAATTCTCAATATGGCGTTGTATTCTGGGTATCGCGGGCTGGATGGCTGAACGAAGCGGACTAAGCAAAGGCAGTGAATGACGGGCGTGGGACCTCTACTTGAGAAATGTTGTTTGCGGCACTGTGAATCTGTCTAGCTTCGAAGAAGAAATCTTTTACTGATCGAAACAAATAGGATTTATTCCATATGACACGCCCAACCACCAAGCTGATTTGCACAAAGACGTCGCTGAGTCGTCACCTTTTCTGGCTGAAGACATAGCTCGCCTTAGGAACACGAATTGGTAAGAGCTTGAAAAACGTGCTGTTTTGCGTTCGACGTGCAACGTGCACGTTTTCGTCTGCTTGGCACAACAACGAAAAAAAAGAAAAAATGCAGTTGGGTGTAGCCACGCTACTTCCGGCAACTCTCTTCTTCCTTTTCAGTTCAGTTTTGGTTTCGAGCAGTCGCGTTTTTGTGACTTTTGCTTCCGACATCCGACATCGTATTATATTTTGCTTCCGACATCGTATAATATTTTCTGGAGGTATACCAGTATTCTTTTAGCTCATTTGTCTTGAGCGATGCGTGCTATGGTGCAGCTGCAGCTGGAGGTTACTGCAAGGTCGTTCTAACACGCCGTGGAACGGCTCTGCAGGTTGCCTACTCCGAGACCCGGCGAAGTGCTGGGGTTGGTGGGCACCAACGGTATTGGCAAGTCTACCGCCCTGAAGATCTTGGCCGGAAAGTTGAAACCGAACCTTGGTCGTTACGGGGTAAGTTTTGAAACGGCTGTCAAGTTAACGAGACAACCTTGTTTTTTTACAGGGGTTAGGACATGACAAAAATAGAATATGAGATAACTTTATTGCTAGGAATCATTGTAGGTTTCTATATTTCTGCTAAATTCGTTGTGAGAATGGCGCAATAGTTTCGGGGACCAATCGATTAATACACGGGACCCTTGGATCCACCCCATTCGAGAAGGTCGCCGTGGTTGTTGGGCCGGCGGCGTCATCAGCCCAGTGTGCGGCGTCCTTTGGCACGCACTTGCAGACTCTGCTCTCTCAAAGTCTCTATCGTCAGCTTCCTCGGCGATTTCGAACATGTGGTTCGTGACGATTATGTCTGCGACGACGCTCACTCGGTCGAAGTCTTTGACACTGATCGCAGCAGCGATGAGAGTGATTGTTATCGAGAGATGTTGGAAGCTGGTCATGACTGCGACCCGCTGGCAACCGGCTCCAGCGACGACGAGTCACGGACGGACTCGCCGTGGTCACTGTCGTCCGGGGCGTTCTCGCAGGTGCATGCGGGGAAGGTCAAAGGCTGGGGCGAGAGAGAAAATGGCGTTGGAGTAGCCGAGTTGCACGAGAGGTTTTAATTGTACCGCGGCAAGGTGAGCTTAGGCGATCGTGGGAGCACCCAGAATGAGAGCATTCGTGACCACGTGGTGTATGGGCACCATGGTGTGACTAACTTGGGCGGTATTGCCTGGTCGGCGGGTAAAAATGATCAAAATTCGTTAATTGATTATGGCAATTACTAAGGCCTTAGAAATCGAAAAACTTGGTGTATATGCTAAGTAGCCTATGAGAATTCTATATCCAGAATAATCTCGTTTAATTTTCGTGTCCTAACCCCTTTATACTGAAACCCTTCACAAATCTTCCTTGCTTGTGTTGGTCTGACTGTGCAGCTTTGTTGCCAATACCCTCTCCCATGACTTGGCGTTCTTCCATGGCTGACACATTCTTTCATAGTTTGACGTCATTGCAAGTGTGACCCGTGTCCCCCCTCATGGTGCTAAGAAACGGGGGCTACAAAGTGAAGTAGGAGCTGTGTTTTCGTAAAATAATCTAGTAGTAGGTGCAGACGCATTTCACGGTCAGATTGTCTGCACAGCGGTATTTTAGTGAGGTTCATGGATGAAGAAAAAAAGTATTTTATACATTCAGAATTCCTTTGCCACATTTCACATTGCATATCATTCCAGTAGCAAATGCTGCCATTAAAAACCCTTTCAAGTGGTGCTTTCGCACTCCTATTGCATTTGGCGAAATCTTTGAGCGATTTATTTGTTGTCGCCGATGAAAGTCCCAGTTCTGCCGTTAAAGCGTTCCCCAATTGGCTTCTGGTTGTCTTCTTTTCTTTCAGTCCTTCATTTTGAGATGTCATTGTATTTTTTTGTTTTTTTATCACAATAAGCATATTTTAATCATTCATTCAGTCTGAGATTCTTGCTTCATTGCCGGTCACCTTGATGGTTTACCAGGACCCTCCAGACTGGACGGAGATCCTGCAGTACTTCCGCGGATCTGAGCTGCAGAACTACTTCACCAAGATCCTCGAAGACGACCTGAAGGCGATCATCAAGCCTCAGTATGTTGACCAGATCCCCAAGGCCGTTAAGGTGAGTCCCATTTTACCCGAAATTGCTCTTCCCTGTATCTTGTCTCGTCTCGTGCATTTGCGGCAAGATGCGGATGAGCTCGAGATTGTGAAGAAGTAATTGTCTGGCTTGTGTGTTCAGCCGACGGGAAGTTAGTCAGCCTCGATGGGTGTCTGGTGTCTTTGCTGTTGATGAGAAATTCAGATAGTGCGGTACCACCGCTAGCCTTGTGGTCTTTAACGTGCATCACGAGTAGAGATTCACGATGGCACATTGGTACCTGGCTCACCCAGATTGAAACAGGCAGGGGCAGGAATTTAACCCAGGGTCCCTTGGTTTTGCGGCGCTAGCTTTCAGTCTATGTGTTCCAAGCTACAGTGCGTTAACACACCCGGCCACTGATCACCGTTGAGATTGTTATCGGTTGGCTCGTAAAATGCCTGAAAGCGTGCGTTTTTCATCTGCCAATCCAGGGATCAGTCCAGCAGCTCATGGACAAGAAGGACGAGATGCAGAACCAAGAAGAGGTCTGCCGTGTCCTTGGTGAGTCTTCAACGAAACTGTGAAGTGTTTGAAGTTACTGTAACTATTTACGGGTATTCAATTTCAATAGCTGTAAGTAGAACTCTGTTGCATTTTTGTGCGTAACCTGTTACTTAGTTTGGTTGGAGTCCTTTGTCAAAATTACGTTGGCTTAGCTTCCACATCGACGCTACATGTTATCCGTGCAAACACTGCCATGTGCAGAGTGCTGAATCGAAATGCAGCTCTGCCAGTACTTTTCCCGCATTGAGAGAAAGAGTCGCAGCACATCTCGACGTCGTGGGATATTTCAAAAGTAATCGAAGTGTAGCTTTGTTACTTTTTCTGAGTAGCTGTAACTACCATTGTTTCCCGAGAGGTTACCCACCCTTAGAAATTCTGTTATTTAGGGCGAGGTGATTTGTAGGGGGTAAGAATATTAGTTTTGACAGTAGTGGCTATTTCTTTGATAGTTAAATCATCAGTCTTGCTTTATCTTTGAACTAATATGACACAAACCAAGTTGAGCGTCCTTTTCTCTGGGTTCTTTTAGGTCGCACGCCAAAGTCAGTTGACCGCCTTTTCACAGCCCATTTGGCCTCCATGGGGGGTGGGCCATCTTTAGGCACATTACGGTAGATACATTTGTAAAATGTAACTGTACACTGCACGGCAGTGTCAGTGCAAACACGACATCGGCATTTTTCACATTTTACTTTGTTAGTGCATTGGCGGGCCCCAACCTTTTTCCCCTTAGGTTAGTGCCCCAAATGAGCACTTTCCATCACACTAGCAGTTTTAAGGACAGCCTTACAGTTCTAAGAAAAAAAAAGTTGACTGCATGTTTGGTCATTTTGTTAAACGCATTTAAATGCGGTAGCTTTACAGGGTGGGTGGAGCCTAGGGTAGGGCTTTCTGTGGAAACAGATTATGTCACACCATTGTCTCTTTGTGACGCTGTGCACACTTCCCTTCAGCACCACCCGGATACAAAGCCTTTGTGCTGAGTTTGCTGGGTCACCAAGAGAGGGAAAGCAGGCTTTCCTGCCCTTTCTACTCCTCCTCGTTCCGCGCTGTTTTTACCCCACCTGTTTCTGCTCCTCTCATTCTTGCCCTTTCCACTCCTCTCCGCTCAAAGTATGTGGGGCATGGTGACAATAATCGGGTTCTACCTCATCAATGCGCAGACCTGAACAACGTGCGAGACCGCAGCGTGGGGGACCTTTCGGGAGGAGAGCTGCAGCGCTTTGCCTGTGCTATGGTCTGCATCCAGAAGGCAGACATGTGAGTACATTCCCCCCTACCATGCCACAAAATACGCTGGGGCCCTGAGAATTTCGGGTCTCGACTTAAACCTCACTGTTGTCCACCCTCTCCCATCTTCCGCAGCTTCATGTTTGACGAGCCTTCCAGTTACCTGGACGTGAAACAGAGGCTGAAGTGCGCCGAGGCCATTCGTGCCCTCATACACCCGCAGAAGTGAGCTTTCCGAGTTCCTTGGTCCTCATTCTAGTTCAGATCTCCGGCGAAGGCTTGCAGCAGTGTGGATCACCAAAGTCCACGGTTGCAGTCGACGTCTGAATGGATGTCCGTTTAATCTTGCAAGTCATACTACTGTAGTTACAGTGAACTCGCTAATGTCAGTATAACTAACTACCAATGCGAAAAAAAAACAAAAAAAAACACCTGTTAATATTTGATCTATTTTTTTTTTTATTTGAGCTGTGTTATGTACGCCCATAGATTAACATTTTTGTGCCAGATTGCCAAGGACGGCATAGTTTTCGCATCCAACGCTGTCAAAGCTACTTCCGCAAGCACGTGGCTTTGTTGTGCAAATCAGATGCAAAACAAAGCCACATGTTCATAACATAACAGGGAAACGTTGATGCCGAACATGGATACAACCTACCTTTATTGATAACAGGCTATCGCAGTAAGCTAACACCCATTCTTCTAGTTGAAGGAATGCCAAAGTGACGCCGAAACATTTGTAGGTCACGATTGCAACTGCATTAGTACCATGCTTATCAAACGCTTCAAAACGAATTACATCCCCTGCGCATTGTTTGTTTTAGACAAGCAATTACCATAAATTAGCCTTTTTTTTTTTTAACTGTAAAAGATTGTCCTTCTTTCGTCTTTTTGATATAACGCCGGATTGTGTCGTTGCAGGTACATTATTGTGGTGGAGCACGACTTGTCAGTGCTGGACTACCTATCCGACTTCATTTGTTGCCTGTACGGAGTGCCCGGGTGCTACGGAGTGGTTACGATGCCTTTCTCGGTGCGGGAAGGTGGGTGTGCCTCTTTGTCATTTCACTTAAATTGAAAGGAACCTGAGAGCAATCTTTGTCAAGTTTACGGTCGTAACCTGTTTAGAGGGACGTTCGGGTTTTGACTGAGGCTTACCTGACCTAAGTAGACTCTACCAGTCGACTCACGACAAACTCCAGTCCTGAAAAACGTCTTAGTAATATCATCAGTTTCTTATAGGGAGTATTCACTGGCGGCCATAGCTGTGTGCGCGAATGCTGAGCGCGTGCTGATGGCGAGCTTCCACGGTTCTTTTGCAACGTGCATTCCGCACCATCAAGAGTGCCGGTCTTAGCAGCCTATTGATGTGAGCTCGTTCTGAGCATGCGCTCTAGGCAGCACCCACAAATATGGCGTGCAGTGAATACTTCCTATAGATTGGGGGTCTCCAAACTTTTGGGCTAAGGGATTGGTTATCTGTTGCCGTCTCGAGGGCCGGATAATAAATAAGTAAATATAAAGGAGAAATAAACTTAATAAATGATCCTAAATCAGCATCTTAACACAATGTTGAAAGTTAGATTTAAACAAATATATATATATATAAGGTGGATGAAAATATATACTTTAATTTTAATTTGAAATCAATATTTAGCTAATTATGACATTACACAATAATTGGGACCCAGAAAACTCGCAAGGCATGAATTAAAGCGCATAAAAACTTTGGCATGTTCACACAGGGCCGAAGACTAATGAGAATGATAGAACTGATGCTGGAAATATGCAAGAGATACGATACAGGACACTAAGCGCAATACACATGGGCACGCGAAGGAATTTTAACATATGTACACAGTTACACAGATGTGAAACAGTGTGCTAAGAATGGTGATGCTGGTGATGACAGTGTCCAACAAACAATGTGACGAGAGAACACTCCTTATCAATTGGCAAAAAAAAAATTTTATAACATTTTTGTTTATGTGGTTGGTGTGCATTGCAATGCCATTTCTTTACGTGCACTTATTGTTGCGCTGGTAACAGAAGTGAGCCGTGGGCCGGACTTCATTGGAAGTACTGCAACCTGCCACGGGCCGGTCAGAAGACCTCGGGCCGGACTTGGCCCTTGAGCCGGAATTTGCATACCCTTGTTATAGACTGACTAGCTTTTACACGAGGCAAGCCCTGCTCAAAATCAGGTCATCTCTCTGGATGTGCTTGTCGTAGTTTGTCTTCTTATAAGTGCGTCTGTTCTTCTGAGCTACGCCATGTACCGACGTTGCATAACGACGCACAAACCGACAACTTGGGAAAATTGTAATCCGGCACTTTGCAACCGGCTTCTTGTGTTACAACACATTGTTTTACTGGGCATAAGGGGGGGAGTTCTTTTTATTTGTTTTCGCACATAATTTAAATCACTACGAAATATCTTTGTGTTTGTAGTAGTCGGAATCCTACAGTGCTGGACCAAAACCGATTGTGATGTTTCTCTTTTTGCCCCACCGACATAAATGCAGGAATTAACATCTTCCTCGACGGCTTCGTTCCGACGGAGAACCTGAGGTTCCGCGACACCTCGCTGGTCTTCAAGGTGGCCGAGACCGCCAACGAGGAAGAGGTGAAGCGCATGTGCCGCTACGAATACCCCAACATGCGCAAGTGCCTGGGTGAGTTCGCCAAACGCTGTCTAGCTCTACATCCGCGTGGAGCTGGGCATTGAAACTTTGTTCGTTGTCTCTTCTTGAGGAAGCCTGTTACAAAGAGCATGCACTAGCTACTACACGTGATGTGAAATGCTGTCCCGTTCCACACCAACTGACTACTTTGACAGTCTCTTGATTTCGCTTTAAAGGCCGACCCACAGAGTCCTCTTCTGCCGGGAAAAAAAACGGTTCCCAGTTTCCTTCTCTTCATTCATTCTTGCACTCCTCTCTCCTTCTTTCCCCACAAGAGCAGGTCTCTGAGCTACACCCTGCAGAAAGGGGGGGGAGAGGGGTTCCCTCTTTCTCAAATGGGAAGAGAAATTGAGGAAGTTTTCTCCTTTCTGGCTATTCAGCTTAAACTTATTGGACATGACTACGCCATCAGCGTTCAGCTGGCGGTAGTGTCCAATCAGTGAAAACACAACTAGCCGAACGCTCATGCCATAGTCATGTCCAATCTCTGGCCTACAGTGACCTTTGTTAGTGACATGGGAAAATTCAGCACTTAGGCTTTTTTTATCTGGGAGGTGTTGGCATATCGAGCACCTTAGGAAGTGAATATAAACATTGAGACTTTTCTCTGAACATAAGAGTAAATAAACCAGCACAAAAAGGGCACAGGCACAAGTGGAACAGAAACACAGGACTGATTGTCGACTGTTATTTTCCTTCAAAGTCGGTAGTCGGTACTGTGTTTGTTTGCGTCTTCCACTTGTGTCCGTGGTAATTTTGCATTATCAGTGTGCTCTTTTACTTCATCAACACACTCCAGAAAGTTTTGGGACTGAAACGACTTCAAGAGCTGAGGAAGAGTTAAGATCGGCGAGTCTGAAACATTTGCCCCGTTTCTTTCGCAGGTGACTTCGAGATGAGCATAGACGCTGGAACTTTTACGGACTCTGAGATCATTGTGATGCTCGGGGAGAACGGAACCGGGAAAACTACCTTCATCCGGATGATGGCTGGGCGTCTAAAGCCAGATGACGGAGGCAAGTGACACGTTTTGTGCATTTTTAGGTGCAATCAGCGACTTGTTATGCCTTTACATGAAAGCTTGATCAGGCTGCATCAGTACCTGTATCATACTGGTACCTCGCATACCAGCATTGCAAGCTCAGCACAGTATTTCTTTGCCGTAATCATAATTTTACTATTTTTTTTTTCATGATGTCCAGAATGAATTTGAAGATGTTTAAAGTCTGTTCATTAACGGTCGTAGTCAACTTAGTGGACTAGTCTGTTAAAAAAAAAGTTATGTTCGAAGTTGGGGTTTAAAGAGCTTATAACTGAAGCCCTGCGTACCTATCACGCTGCTCGCAAGAGCCGTCCTGCCATTGGTTGTCGACTCGAAACAGTAATAATGCCCGCGACGCTTTCAGGAGACGTCCCTTCGCTGAACATCAGCTACAAGCCCCAGAAGATCTCGCCCAAGTCCCAGGGCACTGTGAGGATGCTGCTGCACGAGAAGATCAGGGACGCCTACGTGCACCCGCAGTTCATCGCCGACGTCATGAAGCCCCTGCAGATCGATGCCATCATCGACCAAGAAGTAGGCGACCCGTATCCCTTGCACTTGTAGATTCCGCTAGTAGCTACCAGCAGACAACTGTTACACTCAGTAGTCGGTGGCAGGCTAAGAGTTCAGGGGAAACTCCTGGCACGTCTTTCCAGTTTAGCGGAGGGAACACTGGAGGGGAGGTCGCCTCCCCTCCAGCGTCCACCCCGCTTAATAAAAGGAGGTGGAAAGAGCTTCCCCTGAACTCCTAACCTGTCACCGACTATAGCCTATGACTTGATCGTGGATCTTCTCATAGAGCTTTATTTCAGTGACATAGGCACAGGTGACCTACGTCCTACGTGACGGATGTCGCGATGTCACGTGTGACCAATGCCCCAATCATGCCAGTGTCCCATCCGATTAACGTCTCATGTGACTGATGTCCAACATGACTGATGTCCGATGTATCCACTGACCTATGTCCCATGTGGCATGGGGCATTGGTTATGTGATGGCCCATCTGAATAATATCTTATGCAACTGATGTCCCACATGACCGATGCCCCATGTATTCAATGTCCCATTGACCAAAGTCGCATGCAACCGATGTCCCATCTGATTGATATTCCGCGTGCAACGATGCAGGTGCAGAACCTGTCCGGAGGAGAGTTGCAGCGCGTGGCCCTGGCGCTGTGCCTCGGCAAGCCGGCCGACGTGTACCTCATTGACGAGCCGTCGGCCTACCTGGACTCTGAGCAGCGTCTGGTGGCGGCCAAGGTCATCAAGCGCTTCATCCTGCACGCCAAGAAGACGGGCTTCGTGGTGGAGCACGACTTCATCATGGCCACCTACCTGTCCGACCGGGTCATCGTCTTCGAGGGGCAGCCCTCCGTCAAGACGCGTGCCAACACGTAGGTGCCCGTAGGGTTCTCTGGCCGCACCGTGGTGCCCGTAATTAGTCTCCTACCGGTGTGCTTTCGGCGACGCGTTCCAGGCACCTTGGCCGCGAGGATCAATACTGCATGTCGTGCGATGAAGTTACTGTGAGCGTACTGAAGTAAGAGGACGTGTAAATCAAACATCCCGAATCAAACCGGCCTTTGGCAGACGTGAATAGGCCTTTTCCGCAAGTGTTGGGCGTTATCTATCGGCAAGCAGGAGAGGCGTTTTTGATGGCCTTCCTTGCTTACGGTTCTGCCCTCTCCAAGCTATGTTGGCTGTCTGAACACGGTCGGGAAATAAGCTGAGCTCACTGCTCAGCGTTTATTTTTCCTTTATCCAACACAATCGACGAGCTGATTTGTTTTTAATTATTGCGTTAACTACGGACAACTTTGTGTGTTTTGTACATTTTTTTCCCGAATGAATGGACGACTGACTTCGCCGTGGCGCCCGTTGTGACTGACGACATAGTTGAAGCTCTCTTCGACCTATGAAAAAGTACAAATGGTAACTTTAAACTAGGATTCATGTCATATGCAGTAGCGGCAGTATATTCAGAAAATATTCGAGACCAAGTTACAGTTAGGGAAAGCCTTTTTTTTTTTCAATTGCTAGCTATTTGTTTAATTTGCTCAAAAATTTTAATTGGCAAGATGTGTTCTCATAAATGTGAAAGCTTACTCTAAACCGTCCGAAAAGCACCGGCGCCTGAACGTACCAATGTAATTCTCATCAAAGGTGTATTTTAGTGCTGGATTTCACCTTGTGAAATTTCAACGCGTAGCTCCATTTCTATTATAAAATGAGACCAACAAACTTGGCCGGGTCAACGGCGGACTCGTTCAGCGACTATACCAAATGTAGTTTGTGAGCGCCACTGACCCTGGCGAGTTTGTTGGTCTTGTTTTTGACTGGAAAAAAGCATCACTTCGAAATTTCACAAGATCGAACTCACCACTAAAATACATGTTAAATAAATATCCAAGATTAATACGTGCAGCCACCGATTTCTGAGCGAGCCTCGTCATTGATGTCACCCCACTTCAGGCTACAGCTGTGTGTGACTGTAGGTCCTGAAGAAAAAAAAAACAACACAAAATCGGCCACACCTGTTTTCGTTTTTTTTTTCTTCTTTATTTGTAGTTTAGCGCCTGTAGACAATGTCGCAAACTTATTTTTTTGTTTTTTCAATACATACACGAGGACAACACATCAAGATGATTGTTTCCTCTTTCTTATTTAGCCACAAGACCAGCAGATGCGGTCGTGGTAGCGATAGATCTGCTCCCATTTCACTTTCTGGGTTTGCACCTAGCAACAAACTGTGCAGCATAGCCACTTTATCTCAATGATTTATAGATATTTGAAAACTGGGTTATTCTAATGTTTACAACAACCAAAAAGCAGACAGGCAGTTTGCGTAGCAACGCGAGACCGTCACATTGGTAAACAAAAAAGTGTGCCAGTGAAACGCACTATCCCAGAAACGCCAACTCCGAGGCGCTCACTCTGCGTGGCACATAAGCGACGCGACAGCATACCTAACCAATCTGCTGACTTGTATTCACACTCAAATAAATAATGAAGGAACAAATACATGACCCTTCCTTAAAGTGGCAACTGCAAACGCGGGAGTGCTTTGAAGGCTGCCTTTACGAGCCGTCCGCATTGTATCGCTGGATTGCCCGAATCCAGAGCTGCCTCGTCGTCGAGTGCAGGCTAGTGGAAGGAAACCCAAAGAAGCTTAAACCGCGACAACGCTTGCTGTCGTTGCTGCAGCCAACAACGAAACAGCGCTAGGGCCTGTCGGAGAGCTTCAAAACGCGCGACCACCGCTGCCTCCTGCTGCCCCGAGCCAGACGTACTACGCCATCAAATATGACGGACTCCTGTCTGCGGCTGCCGCGCATGCGCCGTGGAAACCCCGGAAAGGCCCATTGTGTTCGGCCAATTTTAGGCTTCCCGTCTTTGAAAACAGCTAAGTCCCTTTCGTAGAAAGGAAAACGTCTGACTGTGTCGGTTCAGACCAGCATCTGCGGTAGCCACAGAAGTCAAGTTTTCTTTCCTTTTGTCTAAAAACTTGCGCATCTTCAAAGTTTATCGAGTCGACTTTACGGAACCATAGCGTATTTCGAAGTTCGCGGAAGTTTTGTTAGGCCTAATTCGGCTACGGTTGATTTGCGATAGGGTTTGGTTGGCGTGCGAGCTACAGATAACCGGCTGTAAGAATGAATTTCTGCAGGCAGACGATTGAAGCCAATTGATTAACCGTGCCGTTCCAGGCCACAGACCTTGCTGGCGGGGATGAACAAGTTCCTGGAGCTTCTGAACATCACCTTCCGCCGAGATCCCAACAACTTCAGGCCACGCATCAACAAGCTCAACTCTGTCAAGGTGCGTTTATGCATTTTTCAGTCGCTCCTTATGAGAGGACGCAGGTACGAGGCTCTACGTTCCCAAGGTGCTTCTGCAACAGAACATGCTCAGAGCTTAGCTCCAGTGTAGCATTCTGTCACTGGAAGCACATAACCTGCTGCCAGCTCTGCGACGGGTCAAATATGCACAAGAAACGAAATGTATCCAATCGGAGGTTCCTGAAAACTTTAATTCTTCGATTCATTGGATTAAGTATGGTTCATTCATCTGCATATGTTCGTTTATATCCTCCTCGGAGACCACGTACAATGGTGTGAAGTGCCCGTGTTGTGTGTATGTGTGTGTGTGTGGGTGTATGTGTGTATGTATGTATGTATGTATGTGTGTGTGTGTGTGTGTATGTATGTGTGTGTGTATGTATGTATGTATGTATGTATGTATTTAAGATCTTGATAGAGCTTGACAGCTCTATCAAGAACTCAAACAAACTAGATTTAGTCAACCTTGTTGGGACGCACTCACAACACTGTTCCCCAAAGTCAAACGCGAGGTACAAGGCTCCAGGCTAAGAGAAATGCCTTCATTGAGCCTAATCCTTTAACTATGGAAGGCAGCTGTTTATCTCGAGTGTTACTTCTTAGTAGGGGTGTGTGAATACTCGAATATACGAATTCGAATCGAATAGAAAGTTCCCGAATAATTCGATTCGCGAATCGAATTCCTAGTATTCGGTCACTCGAATATTCGATATATTCGGCCAAAGACGTGCGGCCGGCGCGGAGCTGACAAAAAAAGCCGTTTTTCTCCCCGATGTAAGCGCCGTGATGTTAGACAAACCATACGAAAAACAGCTCTCGGTTCAACCATTCCACAAAAATCTAACGCACAGGTTAGAAAAAAGAAAAGTAACGACCGCCACAAACTTTATAGCACGCAGATTTACTCACTATCGTGACACAACCTACCCTTGAATCACAACCGAAACATCCCGTTTGCGCCGCGTCCAGAGAGGAATTGTTGGGAGGCCGAAATCTTGAGCCATGCCTAATTCTTTTCACGACTAAAGCCCCTCGTTTCAAATTGAAGCACCGATGTAAAACACACTTGCCGCACTCACAGGAATCGGCGACTGCACGATCACAGAAAGAAAACTACGCTAAACACGCCGACAAAACCAGCCGAGTTATCGTCGTCGTTCTTTTGGAACCTCAAGCCGCAAATTCTGATTCGGAACGAAACGGAACGGGAAAACAGTGTGCCTAGATTTGAGAGGGTTTCCCATCGATAGCCGCGTTTGAATAGCGAACTGCGAGAAGGTGACGAAAAAACGAAAGCGTCGATCGGGATCGGGCAGGCAGGGCAGGGAGAGCAGGCGTCGTCGCCCTTCTGTTTGCTCGCCTTTTTCCTCGCGACAACACAACACATGCGCACTTACGACTAATCTGCACTGGAGCCATCTCTGTGGTTTCAGTTTTGCTTGTTCCCTCTTTTAAATCAAGGCTCTCGAAAACAGGATAGATAGACGGAAAAATGGATGCATGGCGGCAGTTGGACGGTGTCTTGCGCCACCTAACAATGTTTTTGTTTTTCTTACTTCAGATTATATTCTTTAAGCCTGTTTACTCAGATTTAACACCTATCTGTTTATTTACGTGAAATAAAATCCCGGGTGCCCTTTTTCTTCCTTAAAATGAAAACCAAATATCACAAAATGCCCCTTTTCTGAGATATGCAAACATTTTTTTAAAAAAGTCGCGGTGTTAGGTTGGGCTTAAAAAAGGCATGCGTGGCTGTAACTATGGTTTTTTTGGGACGTTTAGGGAAGATAGCTTATATTTGTGCCATAAAATTGGATCTTTAGTGCCCAACATTCAACAGCAACTGCTTTTATTTTATTTTTTTTTCACCAGAATTTTTTTACATTTTAGCTTTTGTTCTGCACAAGATGCATATTCTGCAACAGGTGCATACTCTCACATATAATAATCTCATTCGCAGCACACTTCGAAAAATTCCTACAAATAAAAACACTATTCAATATTCGATTCGATATTCGGCTTTTTTTTCTTGATTCGATTCGATATTCGGTTCGAAAACTACTATTCGGTATTCGCACACCCCTACTTTTTAGGTTACAAAACTTGAAGGCAGCAAAAGGACGAAGGCAGGACGAGAGCTCTTCCCCTCCGTTGCTCCTTTTTTGCTTTCCATTTATTCTTGTAATCTAACCAGCAAACTCTCCCTCACCTATTACTTTTTAGCTTTAACAGCATCACAGCAGCAGAGTCCTGTTGCAGGAGCGCTAGGTTGACACATGCACTCCCTTTCAGGACGTGGATCAAAAGAGGAGTGGCAACTTCTTCTTCCTGGAAGACTGAGCAACTGCACCAGGGCTGCCCAAGGAAGGGAGCTCGGCCTCGAACCTCGAAGGCATTGAAAGGCTACAGACGCAAGGCCGGACCTCTCGGGAAGTGCGGGTGACCTTCGGTGGAGCGGTGTATTAAAAGAAAAACTGACGGACTAAGCTCCGGTTTTGAATTCTAGACGGCTCCTGTGGTTCGTCTGGTGTCTAGCGTAAGGCCTGCCTGGCGGAGCATACTTGGCCGTTGTCGCCTTGCAACGGGGGTGGAAATTAGGTGTGTAACGGAAGTGGTTAAATGAACTCGGGTTTTCAATGTAACTGGTCCCATTTTGGTGTTACTGTCAACGCCAAGCGGACCCTATGGCTTAGGAAAGAAGTGTCGTTAATCATTGTGAATCGTTAATTTAAGGAACTGTAAAATGGGAGCAGACGTGACGTCTGAAGGTGTGCTCTAGAATAGCTGCACTGACGTCTCCACGAAACGACGTTTCACTTCCAGTACGTAGTCATCGAACACACTGGGGAAGAATTTCTGCAGTTTGCCTTATTTATTTGCATGTAAGCAATGCTTTATTGGTATCGTTTTTTATGTCGTAAAGTCTGAGAAGTGCAGCCAGTGACTTCGCCGCCGACAGGACTCAAGGAGCACGATCAGGGACAAGTTTGGGTCGCATGGACACTTGCCTACTCGGCTCTCCTTTCCAAAGTCGGCTTGGGCGGGACCGTTTTAACCGCTGATGAATCGTCTGTTGAAGCACTTGTCTTAAGTCTACCTGTTGTTCGGTATGCTTGAAACCGAGTACCGTCCGATGCCCCTTTCTGTTGCTGTCTACCTCATCTGGCACAGCCGATTCCGAGACAAGAATGCAAGCGAGCTAAAAAATGCTGCCTTGATGTATATACCTTTGTCACAAGGGTGCCGCCATTTTGAATTGTCATCACTTCCAGTAGGGGCGAAAACATTACTTTGCCGTTGTTATGCCAACAGAAGACATTTAGGATACAGTAAGTGTAACCGTCACATATTCTCGTTTTGCCTCCTCTCTATTTTTTTTACTATTTACAAGTTGAAACCTTTTTTTTTTTTTCGTTGCTCATTTTTGATATGCCTATGAGGTGGCTGGGGACGACAGTACATGAAAAAGGTCTATAGGGAGCATTCATTGGCGGTCATAGCCAAGTTTGCGGCCGTTAAACGCAAGCCAACGGCAAGCTTCCGCAGTTCTTTTGCGCGGCACATTCCATGCCGTCGAGATTGGGAGCTTATAAGTGCGAGCTCGCCGTGAACGTGAGAGGAAAGTTCACCAACGTGGACTCCGACAAGGTTTTGAGCTGGAACTGAGGTTGTGCAAATGCCCTACTAGCTGTCACTTTTCTTTCTTTTTTTTTAATTTTTTTTTTACAGTTTTGTGTAAGGACTGGTTTCTGGCAAGAAGTCCAACTAAGCAGACTATTCGTTTGCCAGGAGATAATTCTTGTTTGTTTCGTTAAAGGTGGAACCATCTGATTGTGGTTGTAGCCATCTAGTTGGGAGGAAAAGAAATACGGGCCTCACAAATACCCTTTCTGAAAAAACCAGCTTGTATAAAAGGAATTGGATTCCTGTTTCATACCTTATCAGCGTAAAGTGTTTATTTTGAACACTAAATAGCCAATGTGAAGATAATATTTTCTGGTAAAACAAAAGTCAGTCAAATTTGTTGTATGAACGTTTGAAGAGCAGGAAGTTAGTCTGCCTCAAGTGTCCGAAGTCTTCGCTGGAGATGGGAAATACTGCAGTCTGCCTCAAGTGTCCGAAGTTTCCGCTGGAGATGGGAAATACAGCCGGTGCAGTACTGCCGCCCACCTGAGGTCTTTAACGCACACCACACAAGCGAAGCACGAAAGTGCACTGGTGCGATGACCATCCAGATCAGAACGGGCAGGGGTCGAACTTGGAATCCCCGGGTTCTGCGTTTGCAGACTTTCGCTCCACACGCTCCCAGCTGCGGTACGCCAACACACTTGACCACCGGTAGCTTTAAACGAAGAACGGTTTCGATGATTTTGAGGAATCTATGCAGTGGCTCCTCTAGGTGGCTGCAAAAGAAAACGTACCATGACAAACATTTTTTTGTAAGAGCGATTGTGCCAATGACTTATAGGCATTTGGTCTTCAATGACTTTTAAACTTGCCAAGATGTTTGTTCCCGAGGGACGTGCCAGGTTTTTCAGTTTTGAGGAATACAAATCTCCCCTTTTCTTCTCCTGGAACAAAAACAAAATTGAAAAAACTTTGTTTAGACTGCTTCGAAAATGTTGAGGTGCCTTGCAAAGCAACGAGAGGTCTCTCACTTTTCGAATGTCTGTCTGGGCACGGACCAGCTTCTTTCTCAGGTCCGAGTTTAGTTTTCGGAGAGACGACGCCTTGGTGCGTGCGGCTCGAATCTCGGTTTCGTATTCTGACGCCATTTTTGAAGCCTCTGTTTTCCACCTAAGATTGTACAACAACAAAAACATTCTTTCGGTCTTAAAATTGGTAAAGCGTGGCACAGGTGTAGTAGGGAGCATAAAAATCTGGGCAAAGTGCTGACTTGTTTTTATAACCTGAAAAGGAATCTAAATAAAACAAGGAAAATGGCACTTTGGCTGTTGTGTCCTGCCTTGATGCAGTGCTTAGTTTTCCAGGGGGAATTCATATACCCCTTATTTGGGAGATATAGAGGTGAAATGTCGTGACCCATCATATTTTGTTTAAAAAAATATTACAATTTAAAAACAATCTTTTTTATTAACTACCTTGATAGGTACTGTGATGTAAAAATGGAAGTCGGGAGCATTGCGCCTTATGTCACAAATATTGCATTATTAATCTTGTTTTTTTTCTAAAATGGAGAACTGCATTTTTTTTCTTTTTTTTTTAGTATTTATATAAAGCATTTTTACGTTTTCAAGTAAGGAACACAGAAAAGAATGCTAATTTCTGTATGCACTGCTCTTTCAACAAGAGTTTGCTATGAAGTATAGCACAGACTTGACCCAATGTCTGAAACGGACCGTAGTGGCTTTAGTCTGCGGAAAGACGCACCTGTCATTCATAGTCTTGTGGGCCTCGAGCAGAGACTGCAAGTCCATGAGTTTTTTTTCGCATCTTTCCTCCGTGTGTTGAAGCTTGGCAGTGTGTTCAGCTTGCCTCTGCCTCAGTGCCTCCTGTAATTCTGCCACCTGTTGGCCAAAACAACCATTATAAAAAGATGTTGCCAGTGTTGGGGGAAGTGCTCGAGGTACGAATTCCTGCTTGGAGCCTTTATGTTTTAGTAACTTACTGTAAATGGCTAAATATTTGCAAAGACCTCGTGTTTGCAGCGATTTTAAAAATATAAGAAAAGATGGGTCATGCGAATACAGTAGGCTCTCATTAATTCAAACTCCAGGAAGCCACAAATTTTGTTTGAATTATCCGTAATTCATATAAATACGATGCAAGGTAAAATTATTATTTGCTCCATATGAAAGGCTACACATACAAAGCAGATATTTGATGGTTTGCTTTACATAGGCCTACTGATCATAAGCAGGTATGCCACACATGAAACATTTGTGAAATGTATGACATAAGTTTATATCTCAAAAATGTTTATCGTGAACTGTTTAGGCATGTCCGTCGTGGTCGGTTTCAAGTACTTCTTTATTTTTTCTTGCTGTTTGAAGTCGGGACGCGTGAGAAGAGCACATAAAAAAATAAATGTCCGTTGATTGTCGCGATCAAGTAACTGAGTGATGCTGTCGGCCATGTTGATTTGATCCTAAAAAGTGTCAAAACAGCTCTGGAGCTGTCGTGGGATTCCATCGCAACCTGCGCGAAAGTTACAATAATTTCGTTTCGTGAATACCAATTTGTTCTTACGTTTTGGTGTACGCACATTTTTGGTGTAAGATCGTTTCGTAAATCTGGCCTCAGGTCAAGAAGTTGTCTAATGTGGACTATGGGACACACGAGCGATGAAGACGAGCACCACGCGGCAGTTTTCATAGCAACTTGCGCGGACACAGTGACGTGGACCTATGCCATGCCGTTAAGTCACAGCATCCGCGCAAGTTGCTATGGAAATTTCCGCGTGGTGCCCGTTTTTATAGCTCGTGTGTCCTGCTTGAGCCCCGCTGAGTGCGCTTCTCACCGAGCACCAGTGCACTACGGAGAAGCAACACCCGCGGAAGCAAGCTCCGCGGGTGTTGCCTCTCTACATAGCACCAGTGCTCGGAATGAAGCGCACTCAACGGGGCCGCGAGAACAAAAAGTATGAATCGCACGAAAACGCCGTTCGAATTAAGCAGCTTATAAATACATGAAAAATAAAGCGGGACAATAAAAATTTTGAAATTTGTTGATTTAACCAGAAGTACGAAAAATCCGAGTTTTAATTATCGGAGCCTACTGCATACATTACCCTACGACAATGATACTACATATCATACCACTCTCAAATGCAAGATTTTGTGCCCACGAAAAATTCCTGAAACCCAAACTTTGCAAAATCTGAAAAGTGTCAAGCCTGCAAAAATAAAAGTTGTGCACAGTATACGTTTCAAGTACAGTTTGGCAGTACATTGTACCTGTATTTTATTGGGGGCACATTTTGCTGGGATTTCCTAGTGAAGTATGATCTCTTCCAAGTATATCTTTTTAAAATTTGAGTATCATAAATGGTTTAAACTAATGAAACTGCTTTGCTGATCATCACAGAAACTTGCTTCTCAAATGGACAGAAAAGATTATTTCATTTATTTATTTTTATGTAACATCTCTTTGCTGGGAGTGAGAGGAAACAGTACATTTCTTAGAAAGTACTGTTCCCTTCAAGTACACAAGCTACCAGCTTGTATATATGATGGGGCTTATAATTAATGCAGACAATAAGATGCAAACGCAACAGGACACTGCTGTTTGTGAAGTGAAGTACAAGAAGCCTCTTTGTACTTCACCTCAAGTTGGCAGGTGTGCTGCACCCAACACCGGATGAAGTAGCTACCACTTTACCTCTGTCTCAACTGTCCTGCGAAGGGCCGCTGACTCGGCTTCCGACACCTGCAGCCTTTGCCGCGCTTCCATCGCTTGGCCCTCGGAGTCGACACGCAGAGTGAGGAGCTCATCTGTGCGCCTCTCCATTTCCCGCAGCGCCTTGCGAAGCTGCTCACTTTCAGCCTCTTTGCGCTTCACCTCCAGTGTGTGCCTTGGGAGACAGGCGCGAGGCTGAACTTGAAATCGGTCACATCATCACATGCTTCACGACGCGACATAGCAAAACATCGTAAGAAAACAGTCCTAGACTTCGTTCGGTTGATAGAAGCAGAAGTGGAAACGGTTGAAATATGTGTACATTGTGATATCCCAAAAGATGGCCTCCCACGCCTTTGGACGCCAAATGCAGCGAAAAAGTGGAGTGGACTAGGTTTTTGCTGTGCGACCGGAAAACAAGCGGAGCAAACATGCTCGACTTGGTTCTTTGTTCACTCCTACTTGTGTCAGCTGTCTTTAATAGTGTTGTGCATATCATGTTAGCTAAAACACAAAGGAGGAACTTTGTTCATTCAGTAGCCTTCTAAGCTGCCAAAGGAATAGACGCTACTGTTGGCAAAAGTCATATTGCCTGAATCCAGGTAACGCAATTTCTCTGAGTCCACTATTTTTCTGTGTTTTTATCAAGAAGAGCACACTGCACCAATAACGAAGTGGTCTATCTTTTGGGATATTGCGGTAAACACTTTATGAAATGCTCGGGAGGCACTAGCATTGTTGGACAAATCACTCTGTTAACACTGCTTTACATTCCCGCAACAAAATCGACTTAGTAATAGTAGTTCATGTTGTAAAAGGCAGTTGTAACCGGTGTACACCGTTTCCAGCAAATGAAAAAATGAAAACGATACCTCCTGGACTGCTCCGAGAGTTCATCACGAAGCGAATCGATCAGCAGGCGGCGTTCCTCGCAAAGCTTCTCCGCTTGTGCCAGAGATTGGCCCAGCTCTCGGAAGGCAGGGTCGCGATTGGACCTGAGAGCCACCTGGATGCTTTGTAGCCTGTCCACTTCGGCCTTGAGGTCAGCATTCTTTTCCGACAAAGATTCCAATGTTGTTGACTGTCTTTTGAGCGCCTGCGGAAACGACAGAGAGGCTCTTGTACTGGGCGATTCGTTTTACAGCGCTGGCGATATATAAGTTACAGCAGCTTGCCTGTTCTAGTGTTCCCACTTGCGCAACCAACTCCTTGATGCACTGGTTGCTCCTAACTCGGACTTTGTCGATCTGAAAAATGAAATTGGCGACAACCAACCTGTACAGTTGCCGGATGGTGACATCATGCTGCACAACAGCTCCACAACCTTCATTTATTTTCTCCCTTTCTTTCTTTCTAATTTAAGCCCGTTCTGAAATCTGGTCTGGCAAAAACCGTTCGGAAACCAAGAGCTACACACAACAGAGCTAAAGTATCTAAAAGTAAATGTGCGAGGCCCTGAAAGTATTTTCCTGACAACACCTACTGTTTGCGGTGAGGTTTCAAAAGTATACAATTTAGAATGTGTACACTGAAAAACAGTGGCTTGCAGAATCTACTAAACCCAGGGTGTTTAAAGAAGCAAGAGTTGACAGCTTTCATTACAATTGGACGAGTCTAATTGACACATCGAGCCACAAAGTATATTTAAATGGCCAGCTTTGAGTAATGGATCAAACCAGTTCATTCTCAAATATACCCAGACAGAGGAACATACATATGAGTACCAAAGATAAAGCAATGAAAAGACAGACACCCATAGTTTCAACTCACGACAACTAATATAATCATAATAGAAAGTGCCTACCAACAGACTTATATTTTATGTCAGTAAAAAAAAAAATCTAAGCACAATCTCTTTCGCAAGTTCCCTTAAGAATGGCTCTATAATATAAAGAGATGACAAGCATCCTTTCCAAAGAAAAGGTCGCCCAAGAACCAGAGCTTCATAATAATAGTACTGACCTCACTAGCTGTGCGTTGGCTCGCCTCGTCAATTATGCAGTCGAGCGATGCCCTGAGGTCTGCCACTTCCTGCTCTGCTCGATTCAGAGCCAGCTCTGCCTCTTGTTTCTCAAAGAGCGCTTTCTCAGCAACGCTAACACTTTCCTGAGCATGCAGCAGCGCGTTGCTAAGTTGCTCCTGCAAGGCGTGACTGAAGCAAAATGTCACAATTAGAGCAATGGCATTGGCATGTGTTACCACGAACCACACTAGCCTACTTACCCAATCCTGATACGCGCCTTTTCTTTTTTTTTTCAAAACATTATGCTCTACAACAGCCTGTGTGTTTGAATTAGATATGAAAGCAGAATCGGCGGATTGTTATATAGAATCATTATTCTTGGGCGTGGAAACTGGCTGCACCTTAAAATCGGATAAACACTGTATACGCTGGCTATGTGCAAAAATATGTTTAAGGCGTTGCAGTTACTCGCTAAGTAAAAAAAAAAACGCTTTGGTGACCAGTGCATTTAATAGGAACAGGATCACCATTTAATTATTAGGTGTAAGTCACTAAGTAAAAAAAAAACGCTTGGGTAACCAGTACATTTAATAGGAACAGGATCACCATTTAATTATAAGGTGTAAGGCGACCACCTTTTGCTGCGGCAAATGTCCACCTCCCGAGATTGGTCGGAGCATTTTTCTTTTAGGGCACTCGCTTCGGCTTCAGATGCTGAAAGCCTGAATGATGGAAGAAAAAAAAAAAGAGGTTAAGATACATTAATCTTGATCAGGGTATCGAAATATAGTATCGTCAACATATCCTCCATCAAGAAAATAAACGTGTGGTACGGTACCTTGCAACGACCTCGGCATGTGCCTCTTCTAGAGCGATGAGCCTCCCTTGAGCCGACTGCAGATTCCGAAGGGTTTCATCCAATTGTTTTTCCTGTAAAGTTTTTTTGTGTTCTTTTTTCACAGAAGCTTACCATTTTAAGTGTTTAATGGAACTGAAGCAACTTTATTTTGAGACAAGTACGCTACCCCCACGCATCACCGCAAAAATACAACACAGTGAGAGTTAGGCTTCTCTGCAGTAGGGAAAGCAGCTCCCAGCATATGTGAGGATGATGCTCTTGCTACTGAAAAGCTCATGGTTCTATTTGAATAAATGAAATTGAAGCTGTTGTGCAAATACATTTAGTATCTATACAGGCTATTATTTAGTCTGTCTTCTACCATGCCTTTTCACATTGTTAGAACAATTGCAGCATGTAGTTTTTTGTTGTTTTTTTTGAGCGGGCGAGACACGGACCAATTTACTAACACAAATATGTGACTGACCAACAAGACAGATGTAATATAAACACATCTTATGGCTCACTGCGAACGTTTTTATAGTTATACTTTATACTTTTATAGTTATAGTTATACTTTCTCGGGAATGTTGCACTAACTAAATGAATCTCATAGGCAAAAGAAAAAAAAAAACTAATTTGAGGAGGCAGTTTTTCTTGTTTACTTTCCTGAAAACATTAGAAGTTCAACACACGGTGATTAAAGATGGCTCCTTGAGAAACGTTCAGGAGCAAAATAAGTTCATACAAGATGAGCCAAACTCACCAATATGCGCAAAATGGAACTTGCATTTGGTGGAACCCACCTTTGCCTCAAGTCGTTGCTGGATGCTGCAAATGGGCTCACTGTAGCGTGCTTCCCTCAGGTTTGCATTGTGTAGGTTTTTGTTTGCCTCCAATAACTCATGTTTGGTTCGCTCGAGCTCAGATGACACTGCCCGTAACTTCATCAGGTGGTCCGACCTCATCTGAAATTTAATCAAACAGATGAATATGTCCTGTGCTCATGCAACTTCGATCCTCAAAAGCTCACTTGTGAAACAGTCTCCTCGAATACCGTCCTGTCGACATGGTTCTTCTTTTCCTGACATGTTTTGAAAAAAAAAAAGAATGTGATGAATGTGTTTTTTGGATGCACATATATATGTTTGATAGCATATAGATCAACTTACATTTAGCAAGCTTTCAAGTCGATCAACCTCTCGCATTGATGTTTGTAGCATTTTCAAAGTTGCTTCCTTGTCCTTCAAATAATAATAATAAAAAAAACATTGCAGTTTTTATTCATTTTGCAGGTAAAGCTAGGCTGCCAAGCTGGTAGAGAAAAACTGCATTTATGCCTGATGAGGCACCCTTACCTATAATTTGGGGGGGGGGGGGGGGGGGGGGAGGGGAAGGGTTAGGTATTTGAGAAATGTTAGAAACTGTATATATGGTAACCCTGGAGCGAGGGGACGAAAAAGGACGAAAAGACACTCGGAGTTTCGTGTCTGTCCGTCCTTTTTGTCACCTCGCTGCAGGGTTTACGATGTCTATCCTTAACCAGCTCACCTCGCTGCAGGGTTTACCATGTTTAACCAGCTCACCTCGCTGCAGGGTTTACCATGTCTATCCTTAACCAGCTCACCTCGCTGCAGGGTTTACTATGTCTATCCTTAACCAGCTCACCTCGCTGCAGGGTTTACCATGTCTATCCTTAACCAGCTCACCTCGCTGCAGGGTTTACCCTGTCTATCCTTAACCAGCTCGTCTACCTACTTGCTTTAACTTCAGTTAGAAACTGTGGTCCCTCATACATCTTGTTATCGACAAGTAACGCAGGATCATACCTTCAGAAGGGTTTCGAGTTGTGACTGAAGGTCCTTGAGAAGCTTGTCGCTGTATTCTTGGTTGGACGACAGATTCTGCTCGACTTGCCGCCGCAAGTCGCGGTGCAGGCTGCGTTCAAATTCGCCAATAAATAAAACAAAAACAGTCACAAGTTTCCAAACTACCAAAAATATTCCTCACCAACGATTGCTTGTGATGAGCCCGACAGTTTCCATTCTCACTTGTCGCAAGTCTTTCTGCAAATGTCAATTCTGGCTTGTAGTCAGCTGAGCTCATTGTCTGAATATAATTGCACTCACTTGAAAACCCTTGACTTCGAAAAACATGCTTCGGAGCAACTCGTCGTACTCTCTTAGAAACGGAGCGATCGCTCTGTAAATTAAAAACAAACTCTAAATGGTAGCATCAATACATTTTCCTCCCGGTGAGTTACCTCTGGTATTCCCGTGATCGTGCGTTTCGCTCCATACTTCTTGCCTCGATCACGTCTAAAGACTGGAATCTACCAAACACCTACGGACAAAACAAATTCCAGCACATGAATATGAGAACCACCCCGTTAAAGCAGCTATAAAACTCGCTTGACGCCGATATTTTAAACAAACCGCTGCTCACAATCCGCCATTTGTAAACAAACCAAGATCTTTAATAAAATGTCTAGAAGAAAAAACAAAAAAAGGTTCTACTGAGGTGTTTTAAAAGAAATAAACTCGTACCATAAAACTAGTATTCTTTAAAGTTTTTTGAAAGCATTAGAAATCCTAACGCGTGCTTTTAATGAACAAAATAAGTTTTTATTAAGACTTTACAAGCGCAGCAGCTAAGTTAGCTCCGCGGTGAAGATCAAGAGGGGGTGGGTGATAGAGTCGGCTGGGTGAATTGGGTGCTTTTCAGGGGGTGACTTTCCGCCGTTTCGCCGATGTGAAGTGGCTCTTTTAGCCAGAATACCTACCTCTAATCCAAACACGTTAAATAATAGCACACTATGGAAGAAGTCGATCAGATCATAATACACACTCTCCGGCAAGTCGGCTGGTACGTTCAAACGCACGTTTCTTTTTTCTCTCCTCCCTAGTCCGGACGTCCCCGCGGTAGAGGTGGTTGACAGATACTTGAAATGACAGCCGCCCTAATTATTCGTTTGATATTGCTTAGTTCAAAAGGAGTGCAACTTTGTGAAACGACCTTTGCAGCGAACTGGGCGACGATGTCGTCTCGTTGAAGCAGTTCACGACGGAGATTACGGTCGAAGGAGTCGTGCGGTGCTTGAGGTTCATAAGTCCTGACCGCGAGCTACCCATCCACGTCTCACCGAACATGGTGGAACGCTACAATTTGGGAATGACGCTGGCAAGCGCGTGCACCGTAAGTACAACTCACTTTCGTGCTCTTCAACCCTGCCCCCCGCTGGCTACACGGCCGTTACTGAAATCGGGCTGTTTTTGCGTTTTTGTCGTCTCGTAGGAGCTAGGTTTCAAGGGGGATCTCGGCTACCAGACGTTTTTGTACTCGAGTGAGGCCGAGATGCGACGGATATTCATGTTCCTGATTGAAAAGCTACCCAAGGAGAGCGAGAAGATAGTCGACCAACAGTTGGGTAAGGTCTCTGCCATCTTGTAGCCAGAGATGGATTTCTTTTGCGCGTCTTTGAAACGGCATCGTGCGTTTCGAAATTTCAAGGATAGCACCAGGATAAGCATTGAAATCAACTTCGTCCCACGCCCGTTCATCGGTGCCCTGGAAGGTCGTCCTAGAGCTCTGCAATGCAGACAAGTCGTCTGCTTCTTGCTCAGGGTTGCAGTGACGTCGGAACAACGCCGAGTTCTGATTGGCTTTGATTGGAAGGATAGTGGGTAGACCTCAATGCTAGATGCCTTGAGGTCTACCCACTATTTTTTTTTTTCCATTGGTCAATAAAAGCTTGGCGTTCTGACATCGTTACAACTCCCGTGCAAGGAGTAGACAAACTTGCGTCCGTATACTTTACATGCACAGATGCCAGATCAGCTGTCATTGTGGTGGCCTCACTGCTGCTTGCATATTTTTTTCAGCGTACATTTCGTGCCACCCAATTTGTTTCTCTCAACAGTGGAAGTAGGAACAGAGATGGGGGACTGGTGGTTGGGTGCATTAGCGCACAGTGGCTCGGAGCACCTGCAGTGAAGGCTTGCGCCGCAGGACTTGGGGATCCTGTGCTCGACCTTCACCTCTAGTTTCGATCTGGATTAGCACCATATCGGTGTGCGGTCATGTGGCCCTTCTGCGTGATACATGGTAGAGACCCCAGGCTAGCAGCTGTACCCTGCTGGCAAAATTTCTTATCTACAGTGAAGACACCAGATGCTCGTTGGGCCTGACTTCCCACTGTCGTAACAAACGTGCATCGCAAAAAGAGTATCAAACGACTGCACTATTGTGCAGTGATGTCACATGCAAGTCATTAATAGAGGGCTTAATCAGTCTACCTTAATGTCCCGAGAGATAGCCCACCTAAAATCGGGGTGAAAAATAAGGAGTGGGCTAACTTTCAATGTACAACCAAGAAAAGCTGAAAAAAAAAAAAAAAAAAAAGAATCAATATTTTTATATTATGTTTTTCTACCAAACCTGTTATTGCGGCGAGGGAAAATGATACAAAGAGGACCATACTTTCAAGTCAACAGTGTTCGCTTATATCCTGCCATAGCTACCTAGCCGCATTTACGCCGAGGTCACCATTGATCCGAACGCTACAATAACTAGGAGTGGGCTATCTTTCGGGGTTTAAAAGAAAATGGTAAATCAAGCTAAAAATAGGGGTGGGTTACCTTTCGGGGGACGGGGCATCTCTTGGGATACTACGGGTAGTGTAACTTTACGATAGGGTCTTTGACGCACGTTATGTGATGGTGACTATGTGCACACTTTGTCCCCAAACTGACCCATAGAATGCTAAGCTTGCTCAGTAAGTTTTCTTATCAAGTCTCGTTCTGAGATTTTCAGTCATCTCTTCTCATATACCGTTCGAGACTGTTTAGCTTTTGCCAGCTCGTAATTTCACCGACGAGTTTGTTCCATTTCAGGGGCAGGTGCCGTCATGGCTCGGGCAATATCGGAGGAGATTTCCAGGCAGCTGAATGCACCGTGGCTTCCGAGCTACTGCAAGAGGAATGGCGTCAGGTGGAAAGGTAGCCACTGGTGGAGAGAGGTGAGTGCCAGGCCCACTGCGGGAGGGCTGAGGTTAACCTGAGAAGTTCGGTTTTAAGACTGTGACAAGCAGGTATCAAGACAGTAACGACCGTGTCTTGAGCTGGTTCACACGTTTGATTTTGAATGTAGTCAACTGCATTACAACCGCTTGTGGCGGCTCGCAACGAGAGGCACCATCTATCGCACATCCCTGGAACACTTGCATTCTGCTTATATACCATGCATAATTATTTCATTGCATGCTTGAAATAGTTCTGCCCATATCATATGAGACAATTTCTCGTACGTAATGTGCAGACTTGGTCTTGCAAATGCTACAAGACTTTCAGTCTAGTTATGCACAGCTCGAAACTGTTCCAGGGTTGCTGATAGATGGCGCCAGCGTGGCAGTGTTTTCCTGTTGTAAGCAGTTTGAAGTGGTTGTGTTGGGCAATCCATTACGCGTGAACATAAACCAGTCTTTAATCTAAATAAACAATTTTTTTTCCCACAAATTCGTTGTATGCTCGAGCGCAAAAATCACACTGGTAGTGCCACCTGGGAAAATGAAAAAAAAAAAGAAACAAATGCATGAAACATTAGTTGTCTATAGTCTCCCATGCTTGGGCCAATAGATCAACCACTTCACCCTCTTAGATTTGCAGCGGAAGCTTTTGGTTCGGGTGCCTTTCGCTTGCTGTATATCCCGTGAAAATTAAGTAGAAAGCTAATAATCGTTTTGGGAAAGCACAAATTACAATTCTATTCGGTATTCATTTGAAGGGGGAGCGTGCAAAAAGCTCAATATTTTCTTTCGCTTGGGAGTATGAATCAAATAATGAAAGATGTTCGATTAAAGGTTTTCTACCAGCTTTCAAACAAATGCCTAATGACAATGAATTAATGCGGGGAGAGTCTTCTGAACTTTCTTTTGATACAACTTCGTCAGTGTTGAATAGTGTGGGGTCAGGGGCTAGCAGCGGTGTAGCCAGGGAGGAGGCTTACAGGGCTTCAGCCCCCCTCCCCCTGAAACCCAGCTGAAACCCCCTCCACACCCCAAGTCATGGGCATTCAAGCTACCTCAACCCCCCCGAAAAAAATTCCTGGATATGCCACTGAAAGGCTGTGATGCAAACGGCTTACAAGTCTGGTTCTATGTTTCAGGACTACAGCAGCTGCAGGGCTTTGGAAACCTGTAAACTGCTTCCACCTGGAAGTGAGCCAGGTAAATGGCTTGTTAAACTTTATTGTTCATTTTTTTTCAAGATGTAATGTGACAGTTGAGTGGCAGCAAAACTATAATAATAGTAATCTTTATTTTGACGTATCCACAAACAGTACGTAGTCTTTAGTGCGGTACGCAACATAGAATTAACAACTCTAAAAGAAGCAAAGGTATCCAAATCTCACTGCAAAAGTAATACAGTAATACCTCGTTATAACAAAGTTGAAGGAGCGGTCGTAATTATTTCGTTATAACCGTTAGTTTGTTATAGCCAATGTCCATTTCTCCCCACTATTAGCAAGCAAGGGGAATTATGATTGCTTTGTTATATCCATTAGTTTGTTATATCCCATTTTGTTATAACGAGGTTTTACTGTATACCTTCGAGTAATATACCTACGTCGTAAAATATTTCAGGGCTATGACAGCATTGACAAATTTGTGATTTGGTAATTAGGTGTATATAAACAATTGAACATATTATTGATTGGTCAGGGACAGAACAGCTTAGCAGGCATGCAGAAGGCATCTCTTGCCAGAACATGTGCAGAGAGTGTTTGGACGTTTGTTCCTTCCTTCCTGTCAGCCATTTCTTGTTTGGGATTGTAACTCGTCTGATAACTGATGGCATCAGAAAGGAAAACTTAAAAAATGGGTAGTTCGATGGAGTCCTATCAAAAGAGGGTGCTCGAATGCTTATCCACTCCGTGCAACGTGACCGGCACGCTGCCGCATAGTTGTTACCGAAGGGAGGTTGTGAGAACCCCAGCGAAACGAAACCACGCCACATGCATTGGTATGCATTGAAGTCGGAGCAGGCAGTTGCGCTGGGTTGACGACATGAAGTGCTGCATCGTTAAGTGCTCCAATAGTAATGTGTTGTCTCATGGGGACCAAGTTTCATAGTTTTTGAACTCGCCAATATTTTGTTGGACAGCGACAACAATGGACCTGTGCTGTAAGACGTGAAAAATTTGGTCTCCCAATCATGTCTGCCACTGTATCGGCATGGCTGACCTATTCTACACTGTTGCTTTGTGCTTTGCGTTTGTTTTTTGTACCAGTAACGCCTACATATGTTAGCACCGATGGGACGAACTGAAATACCATTTCACATTTGCGGGTATGCAGTGCCAATTTCGTTAGTGGAATGCTCTGCTAAGGAGTTTTGTACCCATCGGTGGTGTCAATGATATTTCCAGACCAGTACGGCATGCAGTCTGTACTTCATAAAGAAAGTTTCGGACAGTACAAAAAGTGACAAATATTAATCTAAGGAAATCTACGAGGAAACTTGGAATCACTGGACAATCAATGTTTGAGTATGGCAGTTTATGTGGCGTGCTTTCTTTTTTGATCAGCCTTGTTTCGCACGGAAAAATCACCTTTCTTCACTTATGGGATTGCCGGTAGGCAGTAGGTGACTGCAAAACAAAACGCCTAATCGTTTTTGATCAAATTAATGCAAAATAACTAGTAGCACTTCTCAATACAGAAATTTTAAAATGACAATCTTAAAAAAGTCATGTAAATAATTTTTTTTTTAATGAAAATGCCTAGGAAACGGCTCGTCACCATTTTTGATCAGCTTCATGCGCTCGGTACTCCTGTTGCCAATGCTTCCAAGGCCGGTTTCAAACGAAGTGTTAAAGGTCTTTCAGCCGCACCGAAAGCGAAAGCAAAAAAAGTATATATGTATAATTAACAACGTAAAATTGTAGCCTTTGAACTTGAGCACAGTTTGCAAGTTCTTTAACGACAGGGACTTTTTCCTTTGGTTTTAAAGTGTGCAAGTTGGTGGTATAATTTCATGAGAAAGCAGGCAAGCTTGTGTGAGAAAAAACGTATAGTATACTGACCGATGTAAGATCAACTTTACGTGTACAATTAAATATGTATGTGCCCGTCTCTCTGTCACACCCTTTGTCAGTCTATGTGCCTGTACGTACATGCATAGAAGTTTTGTTTGTTTCCTTTGCATTATGGTATGGTTGCATGAGATGCCATATAATTAACGAGAGAAGTGGAAGAGAGATAGAAAGCTCACCTTTCCGATTAACGTAGAAGAGGACCGCATTTTGCTCGTGTTCAGCGTGCTATACATGTTTATTTGCCTGATGTTCTTTTTTTATTAAAAACAAAATAAATTTACATGGACAGCATCAAATTACATACAAACAATAATAAACATGTATTTATGTTATATTAGGTTTGTGGGAAATGATTTTTGTGAGAAGGTTGTTGACGAAAATCACCACACTGATATTGGTGTGGCCCAAATCGCGATTTAAATCATCTTTTTTCCTCCTTGAACTAAATGAATTTCTGGTAGATTAATTTCGAAATATAAAAGCCTCATCAATGGTTTGAAGAAGTGCAGGGGTTGCACTTTTTAGAAGTCGGAAGCCAGCATGCAGTGTGATTGATAGAAGATATCAAATTTATTTTTTGAGATACTATACAAGAAGCGGAGGACAACTAGATGTCCTTCTTAGGTCTGCCCCAGCCCTCGTGCAACGTCACCCTCAGCATATCGGCTCGGAAAGTCAAAGTTCCGTCCGTGCACACTTTCGCCGCCACAGCTTTGCACGCGAAGAGGCGCCGTAAGCTGCTTTACTGTTGAACGCCGGCTCCTCTGCTAGCGGCGCTGCACGCGTTTTTCAAAGCGCCTCCTATAGTTCCTGCACAGTGTGTACTACAGTGTAGACCGCATATAACGTATGTCGCGGGAGTCGCGAAAATCCGCACTATAAGCGGTACTGTGCTATAACCAAAACATCAATTTTTCAGGCCAAAATGCATGCCATCAGACAACTTACCTTTGTAAAAGAATTTATTTTATGTTAGATGAAAAATAAAGCTTAGTTTGAGGTAAGTCTTTATTTAACCAGACTAGTACACTTCTCTCTCAAGTGTGTCACGCATTTTGAAAGAAATGAGCGACTTTTGCCTGGCGCAGCCTTTTAACGGCTTCGCGGGTTGCGGACGGACGTTGCGAGCGTTCAGGATTGCTAACCCTAATCACTTTTCACCGGCGATGAAAACGCGTGAAAATTTGCATCCTTTATACGGTACGCGCCAGTAATACCTTCAACCTCAGCACAGGCATGAAATGCTCCAAATAAGAAATCCGGGCGATGTTCCAAAAAACACAAATGCTTCACCACTGTAGTCGAAGTAAACAAACACGACGACACGGGCGTTTCTGCCATCTTGAGAGTGCCGCCACAACATCGCCGCACGAATAGGTGGATCTTCCCTTCTAGTACGTGCTGGGTTATCATAGCGACACACAACGAAAATTCACAGTCAAGGATAGCGCTTTTACGCGGAACGATGAGTTTCTACCACGCCGTCTTTGTCGACGAACAAAACCGACGCCATGTTTGCGGATAGAAGCAACCAGCCGGCTGGGCCGGCCCGCGACCGGCATGCAACGTGCGCGAACACTTCTCCTCGACCTGCGATTGGTCTGTCGTTGCGGTTGTTTTCCAACGCAGCGGAGGGACGCACGCACGTGAACGACACGTGCGTGCGTCCCTCCGTCGCTATGGCAACTGAAGCCTCTCTTCGCTTCTCCCCGTTTCTTCGAGCAACTTCCGTGCTTCGCGAGTATGGCACCATACCGCGAGTTCTGCTTGCGGCTCGCGCCGTTATCTAGTGTCGCACAGGGAAGCGTGCTCTCTGCGTCGGTCAGTCGGCGCGGTCGCCGGGCTGTTCCGAAAACCGCACTATAACCGGTATTTCCCTTCGCGCGCCTGCATTTTAAGCAGTATGTAATTACATGGAGTTCTATGGGAGGCGAACCGGTGGTTGAAAAAAGCCGCGTTATACCCGGTCCTGCGCTATAAGCGGTTACGTTGTGAGTGGTCTATACTGTAGTATACTGATCCTTCCTGTCTCTCTCATTGTTTTGACAAGTGTTATATTAGGGTGTGTTTCCCTCGTGAGTTTTTGGTTGCCTTCTGCTCATAAGCAAGCCTCAGTCTTCGTGCCTTCATTTTTGTGATCCTGACAGTAATAGTTTTATTATAATCTATAAATCGTAAGAGAAACACCGAAGAAACCGGCAAATGCTTGTTCTTGCTAGCTGCGTCGTGCTCTACACTTCAATGCACTTGAAGTCTCGCTTGACAGATTCTGTCCTCCATTTTGGTTTCCTCTCTTTCACTGCCTTAGGTGCATCTAAGGAGCCAATATGGAGGCAGGTTCACGACAGAAGAAGCCTAGCGCCCTCTGTGTTTGAGTTCAACGCTGCTGCCTTAGCTTCCCAGCAGGACCAAGAGGCAGACTTGCACCAGGCCGGCTTGTTGTCGAAGGGACTGCAGCAAGTATGTATAGCGATTTTTGTTCTAAAAAACCGGCTACCCAAGAACTAGAGGTTTCTTCTAGCTCTTTCTTTTATTCCATATTTCTTGCCATTTCAAACTGTTCTGTGCTGAAAGTGCTTTGAAATGGCTTGGGAAGTGAACTCACTTAAGTTTTCATCTTTAACAGGTGCTGTTGGTTATGTATCTTAGTTTAAAAGATGTATGACTGCCTGAGCTGGGTAAAGGACCTGTAAAATGTTCTTGAGGTAAAATGCAGACTTCTGATTAAAATATTTAACTTTTACGAACACTTAAGATATACCCTTGAAACTTGTGATCGCAGGAAGGGGCAGCGAACCAAAGTCCAGTCAGCAATGTTCGCTTATCTCTCGCTCTGGTTAAGTAGCACCGTTTTTGCCACAGTCACCATTAGCCAGGTCCCTGCAATTACCAGAAGTAAGCCATTCCTCGGTGTTTCAGAAAACAAAAGCAAGTCATGCCAAAAAAGGGGGGGCGGGCCATTTTTTGGCATTATGCGGTACGCTAACGGCATCTGTGGCTCTTTGGTTGTGGCAAATTTTCAGGAGCACAGGCAGCGGAAGAAGGAGCGAGTCCAGAAGAGGATAGCAGACGCTTTCCAGCAGTCCCTCCTCTCGACGGACCAGTCCAGGGTGGATGTGTCCAAGTTACTGTCCTCGCTGAGCTTAGAGGACGAGGCCATGCGACCAAGGGGCTCCAAGTTCACCCGAGCCGAGAAGCTGCAGTTCACAAAGGTCGGTGTGGTCGCTGCATTCGCTTTCAAGGCATGCGACTGCATATTGTGCTGAACGTTGCTCGAAATCAATATCCTCGACCGTGTGGTGTGGTTGGCTACATATAAGCCTGCTTTCCAAATGTTGCAATCTGGTCGACCAAAGGTGAACCTTTCCCCGTTGCATTTGGTGAAGCGACCATGGCCTTCTTCATGTTGCAGGAAAAAAAAGTACCGTTACTGTCGTTCGCGTTTTTGTGCCACATTGTTGAGACTGGCTTAGTTTCCACAATGTTTTAACATTGCCTTAGATGCTTGCGCGAGCACGTGGGTTTGTTTGACGTTTTCTTCTTATGAGCCTGTGTGTGAATAAGATGCGGGATGAAGCCACGTGCTGTCGGAACAGTGCGGCATTGTGGAAAACAATGACGCCGAGCGTGGCCAGGTTCCAGAAAGACGACGCCTCTGGTCTCGTGTCACAGTTGCGCTGTGCCAAAAAAGCTACGTCGACTCTTTTGGGCTTTCTGGACAAGTCTCCCGGCAGTGTGCATTATTTATAGTACGAATGGGCACATCATTTTTTTGCAGAACCAGCTTGTGAAGCGTGCACTGACATAAATTTCAGTTAATGAATGGAATGGTTGTTATAGTCTTCTCGTATTGTTTTGGCCCTTCCGTCTCTAAGGTACACCGAGGAGAGACATTCCAGGCGCTGTTCGTTTGGACCGAAAAAATCTAATTTTCGACGTATTCGTGCAAACGTGTAAAGAGTGGTTGAGTCGCACAATCCCCGTGACGTTGATAGTGGCATCCATTCTCATTAGGAGGAAGAGACTAAGCAGGCTGCCGGGGATGGTGCGAGACTGGAGCTTCCGAAGCGGACTTCGGAGGAAGACGCAGAGGCCAAGGTGAAGGAGATGCAAGCGCAGCTGGACAGCATCTCGGAGGTCATCGTCCAACTGGAAGGCCAGGAGAAGGAGCTGACTGCTTCGATGCAGCAGGTGCGTCTGCAAGTTTTTGTGAGACTGGATGAAATTGTAACTTTGCTCGAAGTCAGACTTGGAATAGTCGGGAGTACCATAGTTCGAATGGATGGTTTGGCATCAATAAAAATGGATGCATTCCAACTTTTTTTTTTTTACTTCTGTGGCAGATAACTGTAAACAGATGTAAGCTCTGAGGGTACACTTAGGTTTTGCTTAGGTTTGTGCCAATATTGGTATTTTCGAAGAGTAGTTCAGAATAATACGCCATTTGATATTTGCTTCAAAATGAACTTCGACATTTATATTTTTGAAGTGCTGATCACGGCGGGTTAAGGGGTGTCCAAACAGGACACTACAGAACGCACGACTCCGCCAAATCGTGAAAATTTAAGCGGGCGCGAAGTGGGCGCGTCTGCTTAAATTTTCACGATTTGTCAGAGTCGTGCGTTTTGTAGTGTCCTGTTTGGACACCCCTTTAGCCACCCTAACGAGCTTGCTTTTTACCGAGCACCGGTGCATTGAGGAGAAGCAACACCTGCGAAAGCAAGTACCATGGCTGTTGCTTCTCTGCGCGCATCAGTGCTCGGTTTGAAGTGGACTCAACGGGGCTAACCAGCCGCGATTGACACTTTGAAAAATATAAATGCTGCAGTTGTGTGCTTAGAAGAAAAGCACACTTTCAAAGCGGGTGGTGCATGTGCACGCCTGGTGTATTTAGAAAAAATAGAAACTTTGTGAATGTTGATATATATACAGCATGTACTAACACTTAGAACCCACTTTAGACAGTTTGCAAAAATCGGTTTCTCAACGTACCGCGCTGCGATTTACTACATGGGTGCGGCTAGTTGATGGAAGCTTGAAGTGAAAATATCAACGGATGACTTGCCTCATTCAGAAAAGAAAAAAAGGAAAACCTGTTTTGGGCCATCCACGACAGCATTCGCAGACAATGTCATCATGACCGTGCTCGCTTAGCTTTACGCACTGCCGACAGATGGCGTAGTGTCAGACATGATAGTATGCAGCGCCTCGACCGAGCATCTCCGTATAATAAAAATGGGGAGCCGCGAGGGAATTAATTCCTGATTTTGCAATTCAGTTTGTGTTATAAAAATTAATAAATTACCACACTTTCAGAATTGCCCTTAGAGAGACATGCGCTGGCATAGTGAAAAGTTTCAGAAGGTTGTCTGCTAAGATCGGTGTTGGCGCGCTTGACGCCTCTGACATCTGTCGCTGGTGTATACAACTTGGCGAGCACGGTCAGGACATTGTCTGTGAATGCTGCTGTAGATTGCCCGAAACGGGTTTTTCTTTTTTGAACGAGGTAAGTTCACTTGTTTTTATTTTCACTCCCAGCTTCCACCATCTAGGCGCACCTTTGTAGTAAGTCACAATGCATTACGTTGAAAAACCGATTTTTGCAAACTGTCTCAAATGGGTTTTTAGCGTTAGTGTGCGTCCTGTACATGGCAGTACATTTAAAAAAAAAAATGAAACTGACTATATGCAAGAGTGTACGTTAGGCAGAGATGACCTGACAACCTGCATTCATGATTTCTGATTGTCTTTTTTTTTCTTCAAATTCGAAATTGAAGAAAGGGTATTTGCACATAGCAGGAATATTTATAAATACCCTCAATTAAGTAAAGCTGGGCATCTCTATAAATTTAGTTTTGTGTCAAACCGGTCGTTTACTTGCCTTCCCAAGTTAGGCATTGGACTTTCTGAGGCCATAGTCTATAAATATTATATAATAAAATTAAGATTCACTTACCTTAGAAATGGACAAGTGGAAGCTTGGGAACATCCTTCCATGTTCAGCTGGGTTTTCATTTAAGCATGGTGCAACAGTAGTGAAAAACTTCGGAAAACTATGATATTCAATTAGAAAATATTCGGCCAAAACCACTATTCGTTTTAAACTCAAAATTCACTACTCGCACATGCCTAGTTCTGTGCGAACCGTTGCGAGGCATCGGTAGTTTTCTCTCATCAGTACTATACCTTGCAAGATAAGAACTGCAAGAGAGGCTATGCCCCGAATTCACGGGAAAAAATGGCGTCGTCGCACCGATTGGTATAAACATACCATTTTTCTGAGGCTACGAAATGGGAGGAGCATCTGCGAACACCCCTTTTGCACGATCGGTGCCCGTAAGAACAAAGCTCTGCCAAAAGTACTTTGGTGCACTGAGCAGAGAGTCGTCTTTTGTGGGCAGAACCTCTCCTGCAGGTTTTATGTTGCAACAGGTTATAAATAATGCTCTAAATCTTTGCCGTTGGGTTTTCAAGTCGTAGAAGCATGCCTCCGAAAATGGAAGGTCTTTATTTGAAGGCTGATAGATTTCAAGGTCTTCGTTTTTATTTTGTAGCATATGTACTTCTATAATCGATCTTTTCACAACAGGTCACCTACTGCCATTATCTCAAAGAAATCGTCCCTTTTTTTACCACTTATTTAATGGGCATTATAAAGTAGACATCTCTAAAATACCTAATTGGCTTCTGTTTTAGGATATGCCACCCGACTGAGGCATGAACTAGCTATGCCTTTTTTTTTTGGCTTGTGCAATATTTGTTTAAATGTTCTTTGTTTTCGAGAATAATAAGTGACTGAAGTAGCAATCTAGTTTTGCAGCCATCATTATTGCTATTCACATCCCATTTTTCATGATCAATCCTTTCTCAGTATAGATGTTTCTTTTTTTGTTTGTCCTACAGCTTGTTTGTTTCTTTCTTTTTGTGTATCCTGCCGGCTTACGTTACCATCACAACTGTAACCCACACTGCTAAAATCTCGCATAGGTACTGCGGTATTTTTAAATATGTAGGTACTAACTGGAATTCTACACGTGAGCACATCATTCCTTCGAGACATGGTTGCAACAGCTAAAGTTAAATGAGGCTCGGTCTGCCCCTTAATACGACGACGTCTTTCCAGGTCTCTGAGGACATCCGCGTGAAGCAAGCGCAGAAGGCAGAGCTGGAGAGCCAGAACGAGCTGGAACACCGGGCGCTGGCGCTACTTCCGGACGCAGAGGGCAACATTGCCAAGCTGCAGGGCAAGGTGGACGCAGCGGCGCAAAAGCTGGTGGGCCTCTCGGTGCAGTGGGAGAAGCACAGGGCCCCGCTCATCGAGCAGTATCGACAGCTCAAGGAACAGTGCTCCAAGAGGCTCGTAAGTGCTCCGAAACGCGTGCCCTCTGGACGTACCACTTTCATAAATCCCAGCGCACAACGCCCAGCACAACACGTTCCAGGAACCAGTTTGTCGACGAGCGGGGCGACGCAGTTTTGGGCGTCAAATCGGCCGCAGACGAAAAAGTTGTCGAGAGTCTGCAGAGCGCTAGTTCGTCTGCTTTTGCAGGGGCTGCGGTGACATCAGAATGTCATCACTGATTGGCTTTAATTGAAGGAAATTGAGGTCTACTCACTATCCTTCGATCAGAGCCAATCAGAGCTCGGCGTTTTGACGCCGCCGCAACCCCTGCAAAAGCAGCAGACAAACTTGCACTCCGGATATGTAAAGGCCCGTTCACACACTTGCATCTGCTTAGGACCGAGTTTTTGCGATCTCTCATGAGGGAATGCGCGGCGCCATTTATGGAGTGACTTTGGAACGACATTTCACTCAAGCAAAGGTTTTGCTGTATTTTTAAGATCAAAGGTGTTCACCGTCTACAAGAAACAGTCGTTTATGACGTCAAAAAGCTTGTCCAGCCAAAAAAAAAAAAAAAAGAAAATATGGAAACTGCGAGCATTCTATGGCTACAAATAGATGGCGCCGGTGGTGTTCTCTCGTTGCAAGAGGTTTCAAGGCGCACAGTTGTAGGCGGTAGCAACTGCGGGAACCGGCCTTTGAGTGCGGACCACGCAAGCCTTTATGCTTTTTTTTGCACGAGAACCTCATAGGCGTCCAAGCACGCAATTCTTAGCCTCTGCACCGACCTCGGCGACAGATGGATGGATGGCTAATGGCTGTCCCCCTCTATGACGGCCAGTAGCATGCGCCACCTCAGTGAGAAGCCAAAAGTGTGATTCGTCCTTTCAAGCCAATTTGCTTTCCCTCTGTAAAAACCAATGACCAATCGAATCCTAAACTTAGTGGCCAACTAGTGCCTAGAATGCATTGTTGCCAGGGGCGCTTTGATTCTGGATGCAGTCTACTGAGTTATGATTGTTTTGAAACAATGATGGGACCTTGATACTGATTCTTGAATATAGACTGAATCGGAATTGCTTTTTCGAAGATAAGAGTTTCTTTTTTCTTTCTTTCGATAAATTCTATTTGTAATACATTTTAGAGGCTCATAAAGGTTCTACACTCTGTGCTGTTTGAATTGGTTAGGAATTATGGTGGAACTATTGAAGAAAATATCACACAATGTCTGAAATTTCAGCTCACCAAGGGTTATTCTCCCAAGACCTTGAAAACGGGAAGTTTTGGGGTACATTGGATTCCTAAAATGCTTGGAATTCTCCTAGGTGCTCTAAGTGGGTGTTGTTAGAATAGACTGTGTGGAAATCTTGAAGGTATAATAAGACTATGTCCTATGCATCTGATCGAATAAGAGTTCTTTTGGTTTATTTGGAGCTAAGACTGAAATACAAAGATTTTTGGATAAATGCAATTCGTAACAGAGAAGGAACCGTCAAAAAAAATGCTTTTAGTTAGGCTAAATAAGTGTTGTCCTTTTAAAGCTAACACTGCGAAGAGCAGAGATTTTCCAGACAATCGGACAGATTTAACTGGAAAATCTTCACTATAGTAGTATTTGTCAAATTCATCCGAAGAGACAAAGCCCTAGGTATAATGTACTGATGCAATGTACAAAGCCCAGATTCGGCAGATATGTTAGTCTAACAGCAAAGCTATCTTTTTGAGCAACTGAACCCATTATTAAAAAGAGGTTCCAATGCACAATTTTTGACCAATGTCTCCTTTCGTACACCAGGTTCGAGTTGATTCTGATAATTTTTGGCCAAGGTGAAAAAACGTCAGTCACTACCTACACTTGTGCAGCGAGCCTAGTCGCCTATATTTGTACGGATAGGATGATATTATGTGAATGGTTTGCACTGTCAGCTGTACTTCGAAAGTGAGCAGTTTAATTGCAGTCTCATAACAATGTCCTTATGCATGTTTTTTTGTTTTTTTTTTTAAGAATGAAACGCAACAGAAATTGGAGGAAATAAAATCCCTGAAGGACAAGATGCGCGAGATATCGGAACAGGCTAGGAGCAAAGAAGAACTCCACAAACAACTGGTAAGGGCAAGATTGTCCGTAAAAAGCCTACACTTGGGGACTTGGGGGGGCTCCTTGTTTTTCATGGCCGAAAAACAGTACTTTAGAGTCGCCTTGCCGCAATTGTGTCGTAATCCTGCCATTTCTTTATCTACTAGGTTAGCGAGTATGAGAAACTCGCAAAGGATGTGAACCGTTCGTCATACACGAAGCGCATCACCGAGATAGTCGGGAACATCAAGAAACAGAAAGAAGAAATCGCAAAGGTTGGAAATGTTTGCAACTTTTTATCAAATGCGTATGTGACAAGCAATCTTTTGGTTGCACACTGAGAGTTCCTAGGTGGTTCAGATTAATCTCGAGCTGTCGCTCCGTGACTCCTTTCAGCTCCGAGCCACTTTCGGCATGGCATGTTATAAAATTGCGGTTTCAAGTTCTCTACACCGCATTAAAACGACAATTTGGGCCAGTTGGTTCATGAGGGTAAGCGCCAAAAGAACACAGCGACAAGAAAGTATACGAACAAGGGGGCTTTTTAAAGCGGCAAGTTACTTTCATGTGCCCATGTTTTGACAGCGGAGCTGTTAAGGACTAGTTTCCCCAGTTTCGTGCCCGTGGACAAATCAATCTCGACACATAACTCTGGACAGCTACCGCCATCTATAAGCGACGGCGGCAACCAGACAACCGGCTTGCCAGTTGTCTGGTTGCCGCTGTCATTCATAGATGACGGCAAGCTTTACAGCCTTTCCACTCTGGTTTTCACCAGAGTGGAAACGCTGAATTTCTCTAGGCTTCGTCCTTGAGGTCGTTCAAGAAGTTGTCCTTGAGGTCGTCCCACCATAGTAGAGCTCCGCTGATCTTCCTTCTTCACCAAAATAGAAAAGCTGAAAGTTTTTTTTATTATTATTTACCTACGTGATTATGAACCAACTGACCCAAATTGCCACTTTAAAAGTGCCCTTGTCCGTCTTACTTCCTTGTCCCCGTGCGCTTTCTTTGGCACTTGCCTACCTGTTCTCTAAACCCCCACATTATCCGGCTAGCATAATTTCTAGTGACGCAAAACACTTTTTGAAACTTGCACGAATAATTTTTCTCACATCATGCCAAAGTGATCTCACAAAATGCTCAAGGTTATGCCGACCACTTAAAAAAATTTGGATGTTGATCAGTTAAATACAACATTTTCCTACTGTGAAAATAAAATTAAAAAAAGAAATGTGCAGGTTTGTTTTATGAGAGTTCAAAAGGGAATTTCATGCTTCCTGGATCCTAAATATACATGTATATATATATATATATATTTGTGTATGTGTCCAATTATTTCCTCCCCTTAGGTATTGATTGACACAAAGACCCTCCAGAAAGAAATCAACCAGCTAACCGGCAAGCTGGATCGGACGTTCACTGTGACGGACGAACTCATCTTCAAGGTGAGTTGCACAAGCCGAATATGGACGCAACGAAAGTGGGCGACGACAGAGTCGGTGACCCACACCGCACGTCCGTTTCAGGATGCCAAAAAAGATGAAGCTGTGAGGCGAGCCTACAAGTATCTGGCTTCAGTGCATGAGGTGGGTTTTCAGACTCGGTTTATTGCATCTCATTGCTTTAAAGCTTGCATCTAAAAATTGGGTCATATTGTATACGAGTGCAGTAGATACAAGTCCTGGTGTGCACGTGCCACAACATGAAAGTTGCCAAAAACTGGGTCGTCTGCAACAATGCCCGTTTGTGTAATCTAACAATTAGTTCAAAAAAAATTTTTTTTTTTTTTTTAGAGCTTGTTTTAATTTTATTTTTAACCAAAGGCCCGTTCACACTCTTACGACCTCTTAAAACTGGCATGGATGAAGAAAGAATTAACAATTAAAACAGGGACAACACAACCACATCTTCCATGAAAGATGTGGTTGTGTTGTCCCTGTTTTAATTGTTAATTCTTTCTTCATCCATGACTTAAACCAACACGCTCTTCTACCAAGCATACTTAAAACTAGGTTCCTCAAAACCTCTAACGACGAGAAGACACACTGGCACCATCTATTGGGTAGCAAAGTAAACTTGGCAGTCCGGCATATTTTCTATTTCTCTGGCGCTTTATCCTTTCTTTCTTGGCTCGAAACACTTTTGTCAACGTTATAAACGAGCCTTTCTTATTGGTATTATGCACATTTGACCTCGGAAATACCGCAAAACCTTCGCTCTTGTGAACTGCAGTTCCAGGGTCACCACATAGATGGCGCCAGAGTGGCAGTGTGTTTTCTCGTCCTAAGAAATTTTGAGAGGTTTTAACAAGTCTCGGTCTCTCTCGATCATACTCGGTCGCAAGAGTGTGAACGGGCCTTAGGTTGCAGTAATTAAACTGTCTTTTCACTACTTCTCAAAGTAGGTGGCGAAATGTGGTGCCTATTATGTTCTGCAGCCCTTGTTTTTTTTTTTTTTTTTTTTGGAAACATGGTAAAAATCTAGCAAGGTATGAATATTTTTCGAGACAGATTTTGAGTAAAGAGCGATTTAGAAACGCGCTTCATTTTTGGCGCGTCGTCCCAGAATAGAAGCACCGCATAGAAAGACGTCAGGAAACTCAAACAGTCTCGTTCCATAAATATTGCAATAAAAAGACCTCGTTTTCTTTGGGTGAGCTATGTGTCCAGTCAAGGCTCTTGTGTATTCATTGTCACATCAAGAAAAAAAAAAAAAAGTTTTGCGCGTTGTTCATGCACTGTGCAAAGTTCTTCCAAGATTTGCTTGTCGAAGGAAGAAACGATAATTTTGGTGCTTGAAATGTGCATGTCTCAATAAAATAGTGTAAAACTAGTCAAAGACGTACCTATGTGTATCTCGATTGAAGCTAGAAAGGGGAAATAAGTGACGTTCTGCAAGGAGCCATACTTCTTTGTTGCGGTTCTCGAGGCAAGTACGAGTGGAGACTTTTTTCTGGGAGGGGTGGGGGGAGATCAGATACTTTAGTCAAAGAAAATGGTTGCTGTATGTTGAACATACTGAAACATTGATTTTAAATAAGGATAAAAAAAAAAAAAAACACTAACGATGCTTTAGAATCCTCCTCGACGAAGGCCGATCAGACAGGTGTCTAAAACCACCGTCCTCTTTTCCTCCGTTCTCAACCCATAGAATTCGAACCAACTGCTCCAGGCGGTGGAAGAGACGGGCTCCATCATGCGGGAGATGCGCGACCTGGAAGACCAGATCGAGCAAGAGAGCCAGAAGAAGGTGGTTGCCAACCTCGAGAGGATAACCGCCGACTACAAGCAGATGAAGCAGGAAAACGCGTCTCTCTTGGCCCAGTTGAAGGGAGAGTAGCAAGATCGCCGTCCGTCGACATAACCAAAGCCCTCGGAACTGCGGTTGGCAGAAGCGTGCCCCTGACCGGTGTGTTTACTGCATCCTTCAATGCGATCCCTCAGTTTCCCCCTCAACGATGTTGCAGAAGTGTAATGCTATGCGGAGAGAAAGTTGTCTGCTTTGGAGCAGTTGCGGCGACGTCAGAATGACACCGAGCTCCGATTGAAAAGATAGTGGGTAGACCTCAATGCTAGATGGCCTTGAGGTCTACCCACTATTTTTTTTTGATCGCCCAATAAGAATTTGGCGCTCTGACATCGTCGCAACCGCTGTGCAAGAAGCAGACGGACTTACGCTTCACATTGCCTGCCACGATCATGGCGGTGGCACAGGGGTATGTGTGGCAAAAACCCATTCTGCCACAGGTTGCTCCGCAACCAGATGGCCGACGGAAAACTAAAGCAGACGCAAGTTGGAACGCCGCGACGACCGCCTCTTTCGCCGGCATTTCTACAACCAGCTGCCAGGATTCGTTTCGACGTCGGCCGGCGTGACACGCTGGCTTGTGCGGCACAATTCTTTGCCACCTTGGGACCACTTCCGACATGCAGTAAAACATGCCAGTCGAAGGCTCGTTCCAGGCACCATACTCGGAACATTTCCAAGACCTGTACCATAGTATTTTTGTAGGTAATTTATATACTTTTTGCCGTTAAATAAACGGAAAGCTGTACAGCTCTACACATGCCCGTCAGTCTTCGAAGTCAGCCTACGGAACCTTGAAGAGGATCTCGCCATCTTCGTCGTAGTAACACTTGCCCACGCGATACATTGATGCGGTATTTTTCTTCCTCAGACGCGGCGGTATCTTGATCTGCCTCTCAAACGGTGCCTCGCCAGTCAGCGGGTACTCGAGGTCTTTCCGGGCGTTCTCCGGAAGAGTCCTCTCAAGCGTCCTGTCCCTGTAGATATCAAACATTTCGTCGACCGACCCCGGTTGGCTCTCCGAGATTGGCGCCGAAGACTCTACAAAGGCTTCAACGTTCGGAACGTCGACTACGTCTTCGCTCGCCTGCGAGTTTATGCCCCTCTCTTGCAGCCACGCCGACCACTCGCCCTCAATCTCCGGATCGGAGCCGATTTTCTCAAGCGCCGCATCCTTGTACTCCTGGAAGCGGACATGCGAGCCGTGGCGCTTCAGCGACTTCAGCGTCGTCGCCGACTCAAGGTCTTTGAGGTGCCTGTCTTCATACGGCGGCTCACTCCTTGGAACGTCTGCGTCGGAAGCCTCCTCCTTGTTTTTGAGGTGCAGGTAGCCCGAGATGAGTCTGCTGAATTCGCCAGGTTTCCGGTTGTGCCTGGACTGCACGCGGAGCTGTCTGCTGGTCACATCTGCCGGCGGGGGCGTCGGTAGCGAGCTGTTGCCGTAAGAGTGGTCCTCACTGAGTTTGCCTTCCAGGTACAGCTGCCTCGTGACCGGAGAGATCCTGTCGTCGAAGCGGCCTTCCTTGAGGGCCTTCCACTTGAGCGAGACCCCGAGGTCGTGCTCTCGAATCCTCTCGGGCGTGGCGTCGAGGAACTGGGTCTTGAGAAGCTTCTGCAACGAGACGTGCAGTGGTTAAATGCGTGCCTCCAAATTCCCGGACTGTGCGGTTCTCCGGACGAACGGAGTTTTAGAAGCAAGCCTAGAGTGACGTATACAGGGTGCTTTTAAGGGCCACTAAGGCATAGAGAATTTCATATAAATGAACCGATGTGAATTGTAACTTTTCACAAAGGTGTCTTTAGGTGGGTCATTTGATCATACCCAAATTTCTGAGTGTGGGATCTGGAAAATAAATTCAATCAAATGTTTTTTTTTTTTCTCTCTAAGTGTCGGAAGGAGAACAGTAAAAACCGTATGGATCACCTTGCTACTCGGATGGTACCTCTGCTTTTGGGTGTTCATTTCGAAGAAGCTTTCACATTTTTGCTTTATGCTGTGCCACCTGTGAGTATCAATGTTGGCCAGAGTTTTTACTGTTTTCCTCCCTGTGCATAAAAAAGATCTTTGAGGTTTAAATTTTTTTTCTTCTTGAATCTGCGCTTGACGTTTGAGCATGAAAAACGTTGGCCACTTTCTCGTTGCCACTGGATGGGCTGATTAAAAAATGCAGGTGCAGTCGTGACGTCGCTGAAACGACTCGGCAACCGCCATAGCAACAGCTTCCAAGTCTTAACGGCACCAACCTAATAACCCACTATAGTTTGCGCAATGCCGTCCAGAATTGTGAAGTGAAATAAAATAAAACTTTTTTCGATTTGAGAAGGCACAAAAGCTTTCCATGAACAAAATAATGGTATGGAATATTTTGGCTCATTTGTCTATGCAGTCCCATACACTAACAAATTTAAAATTACACTAAAGGAATTGGGACACGAAAATTACAACTAGTAGATTATTCTTGAAATGGAATACTCATATAGGCTATTTAGTATACATGGTCTTTTTTATTCTTTTTACAGATTTGTTTTGAAAACGTGAAAAATACACTTGCACGGTTTATGCAGATGAGTTATACAACCAGGGTGGGATAGTATAGGGAGCTAATCGTAACGATAAGTTGGCTAATTAAGTGCAATTTGTTACATAACTTTTTAATGAGTGGAAATAGACATGGTTCCAATTAGAAACTTGCTGAGCATCATTGACGACCAGTAAGCTCTTTTTAGAAAGTTGTAAGTAAGGCAGAAGTAGCATTTTACGGTGCTCTAAAAAACCTATCCGTTTGGACGCATTTCTAGGTTCCGTTTTCCTACGGCAGCGCATCTTTGCGCCCGTGGTGTCGCGGTGCGAAGCCATGGCCTCGCCCGCCTTGTAGGGTGGAGGGAAGTAGGGCGCATGTGTGTTGCACGTTTAGGCCACTGGGGAGCAGGACTGCAAGCGCAAAAATGTGTTCTGATAAGAAACCGAAACACGTCCGAATTAAGTGTTTTTACGGAACGCTGTAAAATGCTGCCCCTGTCTTATTTCTTTCTTAAAAACGGTTGATTTTGTGGTTTTTGACTACGCTCGGCAAGTTTCTAATTGGCACCATGTGTCTATTTTCACTAATTCGAAAGTTAACAAATTTTACTTAATAAGCCGACTGATCGTAACGACTGGCCTCTACATGATGTCCCCCTAGACATAGTGTAGAGGTCAGAACCAGAACAAACCGCATAAGTGTAGCTCCCATGACTTTCTTTAAACAAATCTGTAAAGTTAAAAAGAAAAAAAACTCCCTACATAATACATTAAGTACAGCAATTTCTAGAGCTGTAGTAATTCAAATCATCGGTTTACGAATGTTGACAATAAGAAAAAGTACAACGTAGAATGTTGACAATTTTCATCCGGCGACTAGGCAACACGGCCCAAGGTAGTCTCACCATGGTGCCCATAAACTATGCGATCATAACAGTTAGTTGGATGCTCTTGCATTCTAGCAAGAAAATGCCGTGGGTGTATATCGTGGTCTCGAAACCGCGTGCTCAAAACGCGGAAGGTAAACTAGGAAGCTGAAGCTTGAGAAGCCGAGGGAGCCTTGCCTGGGAGTGCATGCAAGGGGACGCCGCACGTTGGGTGAAGGACGTCACTGACCCAACAAACATGGCGGCCTCCCCGAGTCGGGCGGGTCCGAGGGTCTTTCAGATAAATTCATTTATCCATAAAACTATCTTGCTGTTTTAAAAACAAATTTAGCAAAAAATATAGGAACATACAATGGGCCCTGGCAGTATAGTTAGCTCACCTTTTATTTATGACACGTCCTAGCCTCTGTAAATGAGTCAATTCTTTAGCTAGGTGTCTGTAGCCCAGAGATGGTGGAGGAAGTACTTGCTGGTAGCCATAGCCGAGTTCGTAACTGTTGAACGCGAACTCGGGGTGAGCTTCCACAAAGGTTTCGCAACGTGCATTCTACGTCATCAAGATTGCTGGTCTTGGCAGCTTATAAGTATGAGCTCGTTCTGAGCATGCTCTGTGAACAACACACTCAAATCCGGCATCCAGTGAACAGTGAATATAGTATTGAATAGTATCAGCAATACTATAATAAAATCATATAAACTGAATTGAATTGCCCTATTTTCAACAACAGAAGTGTTGTGAACTGTAGAAGTTTGCACAACATCAATTCTTTCAGTCTTCCTGTGTGACGCAACAGATGCACTGCTGACAAGCACAACCCACCATCTGTAGCTCTTCTAAAATATGTAAGGAATAGCTGGCATACCCTTGCTCCCTGCACACTTATTGGGAAGCACTCTGCGATACGTTCGGGCCTCCACTCTTCAGGGTCCAGGGTATGAAGATGATGAATCTGCTGCTTTGCCGCCCACGTAAGCAAGTTAGTTTCTGGCGGCACTTTGAAGTACTTGCGGAGTATTATGCTCTTTTTGGCCTTTCTCTTTTGCCACCGGAGCTCTCTGCAAAGTTAAAGACAACATGGTAAGACAGAGTGAGGACGGACATGCACCTTGGAGGGACATGCACCTGAGCTTTTTCACGTGAACACCATATACCAAGTGGCAAGAGCTCGAACTACGATTGGTAACCGGAAGGGGAGTTTCGCTACCTCTCCTTCCTCTTCCACAACTCAAATAGTCGCGGAGGAAGGAGAGGTAGCGCAATTCCCATAGCTTAAGTACACCAATTGTAGTTCAAGCTTTTGCCGCTGCGTGAGGAGGGCCTGCACATGCGCAAAACACTTCTTGAAAAAGGTCCATTGTCAGCAGTAGCATTCCTCATTATTCTGGCTCAACGAAATATCTGTTCAATCCTGTTTGTAAAGTTTACAGTACGTTCATTTTTTTTTTTTTTTTTCTTGCACACAAATTGGCACCGTGCTTCCAGCAACAAGTTTGGTCCAGTTCTGGAGATAATTAGATATGAGAACATACAGCAATGAATGAAAAGCTTGCCAAAGTGTTGTGTAAAGTAAGGTGCTCTGATAATTCAGTACGTTCGATAAACCGTGTCATATTTGCAAATACTCACTCCTGATGACGATCGTAATATTCTTCGGGTCTGTTGAGAACGTCTTCGGCATCTTCATCGTAAGGTTCCGAAGGATCGTCGGTTCCCAGTTTTACTTTCCTGAACATGATTCCGTCCTCGGGTTCTTTATGAACGATTGCAAGAGGTCGAACTTTTTTGATTGGATTTCGCGTCTTGATATGTTTGTGTCGCACGACGCGCGACAAGGTGGTCGCGGTGCAGCTTCGGAGGATGCATACGCACGTACCCAACTGAGTACGAAGCATAGTTACACAGAAAGAAGAACAAAACCATACACTACGGGACACCAAACTTCAAGAATGCACAAAATTTCTGACCACCACTCCAAAAAAACAGAGAACTTGCGCGCTCGCCGCTCGCCGCTACGCTCGGGTGTGCTCAAGTGAGGTCCGACCGGCAACTTTCCATGTCACGTGACACTTTCTAATGACGTAGAGAGTTGCTCACCGGATGTACACTTTATGCACTGATCGAACGAGCCTAGCTGGCCTAGCCTCGTTCGTTGTTTTTCCGGTTCAGTTTTGTGATCGAGAGTAAGCTCCCGGTTTCCGGTCTTTTTCATCTTGAATTTGGAAGCAATGGCTGTCGGCAAGAATAAGGGGCTGTCGAAAGGTGGCAAAAAGGGCGTCAAGAAGAAGATGTGAGTACAAAATATGTGCTTGATCTTATAGGGGGATGTTTCGCCTTGCCGAAAAATATAATATATGCGCCGTTTGTGTTTTACCTCCGCCGGATTGAAGTCGATAGTTGCACGGTGTGGCACGGATCAGTTGAGGCCGCCTTGTCTATCTACACACGAGCAGAGCGTAGAGTTCTGCAGTTCTATCTGACTATCCTCATGTTTCGATTTCAGCGTCGATCCGTTCACCCGCAAGGACTGGTACGATGTTAAGGCGCCGACCATGTACACGGTCCGTAACATTGGAAAGACGTTCGTCAACCGAACGCAAGGCACAAGTAAGTGACCGCTTCTAGCTTATTGTAGCGGCTCATAGGATTCGATGTCGGACGCTAACAAACTCGGTTTAAAACCTCTTCTACATCGCGGAAAGGTTGCATCTTACAGCGTCCTTCCATTTTCCAGCACTTGAACCCTCTGGCTTGAGATCTTCTTTCCATGCTGGTTCTCAAAAAAAGTGCAACAGCAAAACTGTCCACCACTGGTGCTCTGCGCTTTAGCTTGCGCCTTCCATTATGGCAGTAACATTTTGTTATTTCTAAGTTGCTCGTTTTATTAAGTTGACAGCTTGGAAGTGTGATTAATATGCCCTAGACCCCATATAATTTCTTTTGTGATTTAACATTCGAGGAAGTCTGACTTTTGGCTCAGGAGCCGATGTATTTGTGTGCAATATGCATGTAACGTCACGTGCTAATTATTGGATCCAGCTCGGTGATCCATGTGTTTTCCGTATCCAAGGGCACGCAGCCGTTGTCTGTGTGTGCAAGCGTGTGGTGTTAGTGCTTTGATGCCTTTTTATTGCTGGCAACCCATTGTCATGCTACCTGTACCACATACCAAATGCGCTACTGGAGTTGGTGCACACTCAAGAATAAGCACACGCTTGTCGTGACTGTACTTGCGTCTTCTGCTACACTTCGGTTCAACATAACTTGTGAAACCACAATCGCTGCGGTTTCAGCGAGCAAATTGATGGATGCGACTGAGTAATCCAAAGATTTTTGGTTCACAATTCGACTTGCACTCTGCTGAAAGGTAGAATACATTAACACTGGGTGTAATGGCAGAAGTTTGCTAAACATTGTAGAGGTGAGAGTGGCATAGTGAAAGTAAGTCTTCTTAGGACGTCCAGTTTCTTGGATCATTCGTCAGGTTGCACTGACAGTACAAAAATCACCTTGCCATGTTGCTCGTATCTTTCCGAAGTGCCTGCAAGCTTCTGTTAAAGTTTGCTTGGTTTGATGTTACCGACCAGCGGCGTAACCCATCGGCTTCGTTCCCTGCCGCCTCTGCAGAGATTGCCTCGGAAGGGCTGAAGGGCCGCGTCTTCGAGGTGTCCCAGGCGGACTTGACGAACGGCGAGGATGCCTACCGCAAGTTCCGACTGATTGCCGAGGAGGTGCAGGGGCGCAACGTCCTGACCAACTTCCACGGCATGGACCTGACCACAGACAAGCTGCGCTCCATGGTCAAGAAGTGGCAGGTGGGTCACGCACGGCTTCGGCCGCCGCCTTTCGAGGCGTTCGGCTACCCTGCTGAAGTTGCTGGGGATCGGCAGTTCGGGAGTGGTTAGATGAATGGTTTATTTTAGTGCCAGTCAAAAACCTGCAGGACGGTACACATTGTCGTATGCATTGCAGAACGTTTATGCAATGAAACTGTATTGTTGGTGAAAGCACAGTCTGAGTAAATGTCCCGACACACCCAAGGAAATATAGAATCCTACTGAATATGTCTCACCGTAAAAACAATGGCTTGGATGTTTGTTGAGAGATCATATCATTGGACGCTTTGAAAGTATTGTAAAATACTCTGGAAGCGCCCACTATTAATGTTTCCCAAACTAGAGAATGGACCCTTTTCCAGCAAGCTTCTGTGCATGTGTACACTCTCGCTGTCGCCATTTTCGCTGAACACCGGGACGCAGTGACCTGCAAAAATGACTGCAACTTTGTCAGCATCTATCTTCACTCGTATTTAGCCTACTTTGACGCTTTGTTTTTTAGTGTCGGTAGTATGAGGTATGAAAAGCACTGAAAACCGATAAATGGTATGATGTCAATGTGTTTTGACGGGTGGAGGCATGCTGGGCTGCTCTTTTGTAGTTTGCTGATAACTCTCCAAAACGGCACTTGTTACTCGAAAAAGGTCCATTCTACAAATAATTGTGTATTAAAATGTCCGATTTCACTGGAGAAGCGTCCATGCCTAGATTAACCCAGTTTTCAGTGAAAGTGGGGTGGACACTCCCCTGCTATTTTATGGTAAGAAGCTTGTGCTGGCTGAAGGACCACCGAAGGACCTCGCTGCCATTCTAATCCCGTTGGCGGCCAGAGTGCGGGACGGTTGGCACCTGAACCCTCCGATTCGGGCTTCTTCTGCTCGAATCGGTTCTCAAAGACGGTGCGAGATCAAGTCGACCCTGTCCACCACAGGCACCTGCACCTTTGCATCTGCCTTCCATTTTGGCAGGAACACCGATGATCGTGCTATCCAGTGCAGGCTGTAGCTTTGAAGGCAGCTCTGTATCTGATACCATTTTCAGTGCCTCAGACATCCCTTTTGAGTATTTAATAAGAGTTTGGGGCTCGCAAGTTGCAGCGATAATCAAGCTTCGTTTTAATGCATGTAAGTTTGAATTCACAGCACCAGAATTGTTCTTAGTTTGCTCATCTTCGTTAGATTAATTAATTTCAAGCAAATAATTCAAAATTCATTACCAAGCTATATTAAATGAAAAGACTCTTCTGCAAGATGGCGACTTTTTGCGGCTGCACTGCATTATCTGGGGGTTTCAAAGCCCAAGAAAAAGACACATTTTTGAAAACGATTGTTTTGTAAGAGGCCTCTGTTGTGACCGTGGGCTGGTTCTGAATGTCTTCAATCTCCCGTGCAGACGCTGATTGAGGCCACGGTCGATGTGAGGACAACGGACGGCTACCTGCTCCGCATGTTCTGCATCGGCTTCACCAAGAAGTGCGCCAACCAGCTGAAGAAGACCTGCTACGCCCAGCACAACCAGGTAGGGTCGACTGCTCCCCGCACGTCTTTGCACGGTCATCTGCTGAGACGCATGTAACAAGTTGAGAACGTCCTTTCACCCGCTTTGGGTGAAAGGACGTTCTCAACTTTGCACTTGGGTAGCAGATACTATAGTCTATTACACTGCCGAAGGCAGTCTGCAAACTCTTTATGTGATCTATGAACACTGACTACAGCTATAGGTAATCATTAGATGCTCTAAACCACGTCGTCAGAATCTTTTCTATGTTCCGATGCCAGGTTTGTGCAATTGAGATGAATAAGCCAGAGAATGTAGAGTGTGGACGCAGCAGTGGGCACCACTGTGTTTATTTTATGCCACAACGGCATGTATTTGTCATAGAACGGTAATGAAAATTCTCCTGAAGCCAGATGATTACCATGTTTGAGTGGCATTAAAAATTTAACGATGCTACAGTCAAACCTGTTAATAACAAACAGCAGGAAACGCTACGATCAGTTCGATATAGCAAGAACGATTTACAACGAACTACCATGATGTGTTCGTTGTAAGGCGAGGGGTTCTTTCTTTCTCATTCCTTCAGTTTCGCCTTGTAACAATGCGCTGAAACGACTTGTTTTTTTTTTTTTGCATGCGTGAAGGGTTTCTTCTTTCAGCTTATCTCCCTTTCTGAATCGCTTCTCTTTGTGAGCGAATGCTTTGGGAGGAAAAGTTCTTTTTCTGTGTGTGTGTGCAGAGTTTTTTTTAGCTTTCTTCCCTTCTGAATCACTTCACTCAATTTTGTTCGCAACTTGAGCTTTTGGAATTTTCTTTCCTACTTTCTTGGGGGAAGGGACGGGCTAGAAGACGATTCTTTGCATGTTTTTAAAAGCCTGCCTGGGGGGAAACAGTTTGATATAGCCAATTGGTTGTTTTTTATAAACAGTGCTTTATAAACAGAGTTCGACATTGACAATAATTCGCTGTTTGTGGGTTCGTTCTAAGCGGGTTTCACTGTATACGCATGACGTGCACCTTGACCAGAAATGGCTATAGGCACAACACGATACTTGTTGGGTCTCGTATAAAACAAATATTTCAAGTTGTATCATAGCTTAGTGGACAGGTGTCTGCTTCAAGCGAAGTGGACCCAGCTTCAATCCAAAAAGAATAGATATATATATTTTTTTTTTTTTTTTGTCGAATGTTTGGCGGTATTTACAACATTGTTTTAGCAGTTGTTGCTGAAAAAAAGCGCCAAATGTTGTCGACGGAACTTTGCTGAACTAAACAAGAGACAGCGGGACTTGGGTTGCCGACTGAATGCTGCGAGTGTCGGTTAATAGTATTGTAATGACCAGCCGCAGACTCGCCGCGAAGTGGTGTGAATGCAGGTGGGGGTGGGTTAACACGCTCCCAGTTTCCAGTGATATGCGCGCCGTCCGAAAAGGGTGACCCAAGTGGCATGATCTCCGTGTCATGCGTATAGCCACTTCCGGTCAAGGTGTACGACGTCGTAAGCCTAGCCTTACTTTTAAAATTTGCCCTGTAGATTCTGTTGCTTGTGTTAATAAAGTTGGATCTCAGTCGCATTCGTCGAGCTATAGAAAGTGGGGGAGGTTCCGAGTGACCTTTTCTTGGCAGAGTTCTGGTTCAGAAAGGACTATGTTTGAGTAGCGAGGAATCATAGTAGTCAACAGTATAAAACAAAACAAAAAAAAAAACGGGCGTTGCTTACCCTGCACTTTGCGATTTGTCTGACTATGCGCTGGTCGAAATTTCTTAGCAGAGCATCCTTTCTGAGAAGCACCTAGTTGGGTAGCCCGTACGCCATCCGGTCAGAAGCCTGAGTACCGGCGTTTCCTTTCTCAGGTGCGGCTAATCAGGAAGAAGATGACTGAGATGATGGTGGTGGAGGTGTCCTCTTCCAATCTCAAGGACGTAGTGAACAAGCTGTGAGTTTCCCTGTAGATTTCTCTTTTAGTTGCAGGCCGACTTGGCCATTCCCGAACGTCGGAACCCCTAGCATTTTTGAACCCGCAGTTGCAGACTCCATTGTCACTGACACAATGAGAATGGCGGGGCGTCTTAGTCAAACACCCGGCCAGCGGCACACACTACTTGCCTTTGTGCACACATGCTCGAGGTCTTTGAGAGGCTGAAAGGTAGGAAGCTTGTGCCGGTATTGAGACAACCGAAACTACCCACCGTTCTCATTTTGTCTGTGACAATAGCTGCGTGAGCAACCTTGTGGCGGTGTCTGTAATCATGTGCACTTTGGCCATTTTCGTGGATACGCCAGTGAGGATGTTGCACAGCTTAAGTGTGTAGTAAAGCAGAGGTCTTCAACCCTTTCCCATCTCGAGCAACACCTATCCCTCTCTATCCACAACCGAGGAGCTCCTCAGGATCTCGGCACCTTAAACCTTGTAAACAATAATGCTTACGATGGGGAGTGTTTCGCTCATGGCGCTTAAGCTAAGAGACTTAAGCTTCGTGACAGGAACTACTGAGGAAATGTGGGAACTCCGGGGACGTCCAAAGGTGCTTGTGGAGCCTGGTTTGTGAGCTTATGGGATAGAGAAACAGTTTCGTGACACATGAATTACTCACATAATTGTCTGGTGCTGTTTTTCTAGTTTTGGTTTAGGTCAGTGCAATATGGCGTATCGGGCGAGCACCCTTGTGATCAGGAGAGGCTGGGTCTAGCTGCAATGTAACGGCTGGCGTCCTCTGCATTTGCAGCATTCCAGGGAGCATCGGCAAGGACATTGAGAAGAGCTGTCAGCACATCTACCCCCTGCACGACGTGCTCATCCGCAAGGTCAAGGTGCTCAAGAAGCCCAAGTTCGAGCGTGAGTTTCCGGAGCCGTTCTCGCTCGTAAAAGTTGCTGCCTTTCACAGGTTGCGTAGGGTGCCGTCCTGAGTGCAAGAGCTTTGCTGCGCAAAAATGATTTCCTTGCGCGAGTGCTGCTGCACAGAAGCTTAGAATTGGAGTATGTCGTTTTCCGTAAAACCTGGTGAATTATAATTTTGCGAGACAGACAAAGGTGTTCGAATTATTTGCAAGTTGAAAGATGGAATGGACGGAAAAAGTGAATGTAAAATATCCCCTCAGTCGCCTACCTTTTCTTTTGTTACGAGCTGTTACTATTGCCTTTTCCTTGGGCCAGGGGTTCTTTTGGACCTTGTGGACCCCTCACCTGTCTCGAACGGCAGTCAAAGAAGCCCTCCCTCTCTCGGCATTGATCCAGTAAACCTGTGTAAGAGCCTGGAGACTTTGTAAACAATGATGCAGATAATAGAAAATATTTGGCTCATAGTTATGTATCATCGGATAGCTCAAATCAACTAAAACAGTGCTTAAGCCTTTGTTGATAAAGTTTATGTGGCAACAAACCAAATAATTTTTTTGTTGTTTAATAGTTTGTTTTATTGCATTTCTTTTTAATCTAGTCTGGCAACTTTATTGAAGATTGAAACTACAGTGCCATCTATTGAAAAGAAACGCAAATAGTTGACGAGAAAAAATTGTCGCGCGACAATGGCAGAGCGGCGAAAAATATGAACGAGTGTTTTTCTCTCGACACTAATATTTTACTACAGTTGACTGTTTTACTTGAGGCTATCGTATGTACAGATATTGACATTTAATGGTGTCAATATCTGTACATCTTTAGAGGTTATGTAAGGGAGCCACCTTTGGACTTTTTGCCTGGTGTCGCCCGCAGGCAACAACTTGCAAGTTTACCTTGCGATTTTTTAAAATTTCAGCTCTGTTCTTTAATTTGATCCTCTTAAACATTATTATCTTAAAACCCAATTTTTTCGGCAATTTTTGTATACCCCGTCAATGAAGTATTTAAGAGCGGGATAACCTGAGATATTTGGAAGTGCGGGGGAACCCAGGGGGTGTACGAAAACAATATGAAGGGTTGAAAATAAAAATGGAGGCAATTTGAATAATGATTTAAATTGTGCCAGTTTTACCAAGGTGATCTATATCAAACCTTTCTCACGAAAATAATCTTGAAAATATTTATAGTTTGTCCATCATTTGATGCGCTCTTGTCTATACATTTGTTTGTATTTAAGTCAAATAATAATCAAGCTAAGATATACAAACAAAAGGCGGCACTCTTTTGAGCATATCAGTTTTCTTTCTACCTTCCACTTCATTTGTCAGGCACATAATGTTCTATTAAAAACAAATCTGAATGCGAAAGAAAAAAAAAAGAATGCAAGAAAAGTAAGGCCTTATTGCAAGCAAATAAAAGCTAATACAGCTTTTTCACCGACTAAAAAGATCACGCTGATTTTGTATGGCAGGGTTTACCTTAACAAAAAAGTTTTTAATGAAATGGTGTTGTGAAAGTTTGAATTTGTATTGACATTGTTTCCTCTTGCAGTGGGCAAGCTCCTAGAGCTGCACGGTGAAGGCACCAGCAAGGGTGGCGCGGCAAGCACTGCGGCGGTCGCAAAGGGAGAGGAAGGAGTCAAGGTGGATCGGCCCGAAGGTTACGAGCCCCCAGTCCTCGAGACTGTCTGAGAGCCTTGTTTCAATAAACAAGTTTCATGGGTGCATTTGCTGCAATTGTGTGTCTTCCGGTGTGCTGGCAGCCTCCAGGTGTTGACCAGTGGGGGGATGTCTGGAATTGTCGGGGACTGGAGGCCTGTCCCCTTTTCCCAATGCACAGATTTGTTGGTTTAAGTATGGTGCCAGTTAGATGTGTGTTCTGCACACTGTAAGGTGATGTCTCTTTCGGCTGGTTTGAAGCGCTTTAGAGTGTCTAATTAATTGCAGTTTCTGTCATTAACTGCTTGTAACTAGGGTTTCATGTTTATTTTTTTTAATGGGGGGGGGGTTTCTGTTTATCTAAATTATAACCAATTTACAGAAAACCAAATCTGAAGGGAAAAAAAAAAAGGAACATGCTTTGATGGCCACCAAACGTGCTTTGTGGCCTGAATAATATGCACACAACATTTGCATATAAACTTCCTCTTCTCTAGGAGAATGCGATGCCAGTTGGATCAACAGTTTAAGTTAGTGTGAACATTGAAGGACACAGTTAAATGCATGTGCAACAAACTACAATGCGCTCCTTCACTCACGAATAAATTTAATCGGAGACTTCGCAGCAGTACTTGCCTTTCTGAAAAAAAATAAAACACTGAAGGTGGCATCTGACGGCTTTCGTACAAGCCCTTTGCAATCAGAAGCAAGCTGTAGACAGCGATGGGCGCCAAGTGACGTCACGGCAGAGCGACCATGGTTGCTTGATGTCAAATTTGCGGTAGCGGCCGTAACTCTATGGTAGCGGCGTAGTAGCACAAAAACAGTACAACACGAAAATGATTTCAGCTTGCTGTTCTTTTTATTTTGTTTTTACGGGCCCCGAAGACGTTCATTGAATCATGTTTACATAATTGTTAAAAACCGTTTAATTCAAATCACATTTCGCCGGTTCGGGGTGTCGGCGGCTGGGCTGAAACGGTCTGGGCAGCGGGCTGCTCTGCTTTTTGGTGTTCAAATTTGGCGTGCTGAAGCTGAAACAGGCTACCACATAATCACCTTCTAGACTGTTTCACTGACATCGCGACGAGCTTAATGCTCCAAGTAAGCAGCGTGCTGACATGAACTATGTTCGCGACCCTTTGAGCCTCGAAAGGGAAGGCAAGGTCCGCGAAGTCGGGGCGCAAGCGGTCTGGTCCCTGTCGTCCTGCAAGCCCGGTGAGCCCAGCCGACTTTGATACCGACGCCGAATCTCGATATCGCAAGATTCGGTGTCGGCAGACAGCAGGATATCGCGAGAAAAAAAAAATATAGATAACATCCCGCTTGTGGTTAAGCTCCGTAACATCATCTCGCTTCTCCAACGATGAAACATGCTAACGGCTTTATAACATAAAAAAGTAGAGGGTGAAAGTTGTACACGAAACCGCCCTATCGTTCTGGTCGCATTGTGCCCTGTTGCTGCTGTTTGTCTGGCACCTTTTAATTTCTCTCTCTTTTACAAGCACGGGCATGCTCGCAGAGTAAAGGGGGCTCGCGATACACTGCAGCAAAACCAACATCAAGCTGTTCCCTTATTAAAACAAACAAACAAGCCGGTGGTCATAGCTGGTGGGAAGAACATGAAAAGGAACCGACCGGTATCAAACTTGCAACCTTTTTTTTTCTTTTTTTCTTTGTTTTTTTGTTTGTTTGAGGAACTTTGGTTTGTTTTAATGAGCTGACTCTTGAAGTGTCAGCGGCCGCCTTGAGGCTGCTTTTCAAGTGTTTTCCATGTTTGTCAAATTAAGTAGACAGTAATTTACACACTGTCAACAATATTTAATCACTCACATCTTTTCCTGCTTGTTTGCCGCACGAGTGTAGTTTATGATCAGTGGGGCCGTCCTAAACGGTCAGCACCGCGTGTGTTTTAGGCTTTGGTGTGGACCAGCTTCGAGACAACTGTCTGGACACATACTGGCAATCCGATGGACCGCAGCCCCACCTGGTGAACATCCAGTTTCGCCGCAAGACGACGATCCAGGGCATATGCATCTATGCCGACTACAAGCTCGATGAAAGCTATACTCCAAACAGGTAACGGGCCAACGATGTTAAAATAACATCCCAAATAGTAGGCCAAAATAATTACTTTTTTTCCACAAAGTTATTGAATATACAATGTTGGTCCTCGCCGTGTTTTTCAAACTGAAAGTCTCTACTGGCAACAATAAGACTGATGCCAGCAGCAGGTAGTGGCTCACTCTTTGGACTGTAGGATTTGTTCTCAATTGATTACAATCAGTTTCGTGGTGTTGTAGGAATGCTTTTGAAGCTCTCTGCATCACCCTTGCAGCAGCACAAAATCTGTGCTCGGCATAGTTCATTTTTTTAGGCTGCCTGCCCGGCCGGCAAGTTTTCCTGCCACTGACGTCATGGCACTGAAAAGCGGGTATATTTGAATGTTGGCTCTAGCATCATTTTCATTTGCCGATTTCACAAGAACTATTAAGAATTTTAACATACTAAATAGCATATCAGAAAGGGTAAAGTCCAGGGATTTAGAAAGTATAGTCAGTTGGGGTAGCTCGAAAAATCACCAAAGTACTATCGCGGACAATATGAGCTGAAACAGCGCTCCGGCCTGTGCACGGTACTACCTGCGCCGCCTGTCGCATCGCTCCCGAAACACGGCGCACCCTGAGGCCGAGATAAATTATCACTTGCGCTCACTGCGCCACTGCGCTCTTCCGGCCGTCTGCTAGCCCAATGTTCACGTTTTCAGCTAGCATGCATTTCAAGAAAGCGCCGAACTGGAAATGCGCTGTCACGCTCGTATCTCATCGAGGAGCGCTGCCTGACGAAGCTGCCTTGGCCGCTAAAAGGAGCCGATCTGAATATGATCGAAAACATTTGGAGGCGCATCAAGGTAGCTATGTCACGGCGTCCCCTCCACCGCGCCACTGCTTACAAATTGTGGAAAGCAATGGGAGGTGAATGGGAGTGGCTTCAGGCTGTGCCAGACTTCGTGGCCGCGCTCTATGATTTCTTACCAGACAAGATGAGAGCCGTGGTCGCGGGTCAGGGGAGAATGATGCGGTATTAAATTATTTAGCAAGTTTTACTGCGCCTCAGGACCCCCTTAACTGGACTTCTGCCGATTGGAACAAAGCTTGACGCTACGGTTGCGACACACTGTTTGACGCCGTTAACCATGCATACTTTTTGAGGGGTGCCTCCTTCATCCCGATCTTCTTGTATAGTGCAGTTGAACTTCCACCCCGACTATTAATCTTTTGTATCTGACAATGTCCTCTGCAAATATTAATCTTCTTCTCTTGACAAACATATGACTGTTCGCCCCACCTTATTAAGACTAGGAATTCGTAAACAAAAAACTGGTGTCTTGTCAGCAACTTGTTTTGCTTGAAACAAACACGTGCGCCCAGTAATAAATAAATAATATTTTTGAACCTTTTCATACTACTCAAGGTTCCAAAACCTTCTCAGTAACATGTATGTTTACCGTTTTTTGAGCATCTGTGATCAGTGAAACAGAAAAAAAAAAGAAAAAAAGCATTGGAGCCGGACTAAATCCGGCATACAGATTTTGGCCTATATTTTACGATGTCCCACTTTGTGCATGCACCTCTAATCAAACAAAAACAACCTGCAACGTATTTTGATATAACTTTCGAAAACGGTAATCGCAGTTGAAATTTAAGACACTTCAATATTTTTTCTTCACCAGTCAGCGTTCTTTTTTTTTTTTTTTTTACGGGATTTTACGCGATAAAGTAAAGTGAATCAATACCAAAAGGGGAACGACCAGTGTAATCTTTTGTTCCCCCCGCCGCCCTACCTCACATGCCCGCTGTCGCACCCGCCGTCTCGCTTGCAGACAGCTGGAAGAGCGCAGTGGCGCAGCGAGCGCAAGTGAGAAAATATCTCAGACTCAGGGTGCGCCATATGTGCGGAGCAAGGCGACAGGCGGCGCAGGTAGTACCGTGCGCCGGCCGGAGCGCTGTTTCAGCTCATATTGTCCACGATAGTACCCCTTTAAAGGGATACTTCAACGAAATTTGAAATATACCTGTTGGGTTCAGAAATAGGCTAAATATGATCCACAATATCCATAAATGACAATCACACGTTTGTATTTTGAGCCTGATGGCTGTTTTTTTCATTATAAATCGCCCACTCTGGCAAGCGTTCCAGCCACTAAAGCGGTCGAAGCACCCCAGCCATTCGGCCATCGCAGCTAACCGCAAATCTGCTTTTGTGTGAGTTTTGAGTGACGGGTTAATCTTCTATAATCTCGTAGAGGGAGAAGAGCGACGTCTGGGACACACACAGAAGAGTCCCGTTGAGTAAGGAGTTCCTCCCTCCGCTCTTCTCTTGTGCTGGCTATCTCACTACCTGCCAAGGTTTCTAGATGCGCATAACAAATGAGGCTTTAGCAACATCTGCCAGGCGCTCTTTGCTAATTGTTTAATTTGTTTTAAAACTCCTTTTCGTATCTTTTTTAACAAGATATTGGTGTATCCGATGTGATACTGCTCCTTTGAACACATACATATACACGAAAAAATAAGTGCCAAAATTTCGTTGTAGTATTAAAGGGGCACTCAAGTCATATTTTAAAAAGGTTGTTTTTGATCTTTCATTGTTTAAAAATGTGTTAGTTCCCACATGTACCAAGTCTTATACTACAAAAGTGCCCATTCATCTCTGGGCAATAGAGAAACATATGAACTCTTTTTTCTCACGGACTACATTGTGTGGACCAATAAAAGCCCTACAACATGCACAGATTCCAAAGGATATTTATTATAACTCATTTTGAAGAGAGTCTGATAGGTACACATTCGGATGAGACTTCTCTTTTTCCCTGCGGGTGAAGCCATTGCTTGCAACTTGCTGACAAGCGCCCTTCGTCGACCACTTCACTCGGAAGAAAATTCTTCTCAAAAAAGGCATGTCGCAATCTTTGAACACACTTTTAATGAGGAAATAAGCTACGCACGATTGTCATTCCGGATTTGTTGGGATGTTTAGAGCGTCTAGATAGCGCCCCTTTAAAGGGGCAATGAAGACAATCTTGTTTAATATTTTTCAATGTTTTTTTATGCTTCTTGAGAACATAGCATGCTGCCCAATTTTTTGTAGACATTTGTGACACAAATTTCTGTGCCTACGAAAGAAGTAAAGAAACTGAAACTGAACAATCTTCATTCTCGTTCCTGGGCCTCCGAAAACGAAGGTGACGAAGGGGGTGACGTCAAGTGTGAATAGTCGGTATCGGTAGTACTTACCAGATCGAGACTCTGGTTACCGCGGCGGGTTATAGCAGCGCGGTGGTGCGGTCGTTTCGTCGAATCTGTCAACATGGACGGCAATGCCGCTCTCGTGAGCAAGTTCTAGCTTCCGTTCAGTGACCCAACACAAACGGAATGGGAGTATGTGTGTGGCGGCCTTCGCCGCCACACACGCGGGAGAGATGTTGAGGGAAAAATGGCAGTGATCCGGCCGTTCCGGGAACCGGTTCCTCCGTGGGGAACCCTCCCGAAGAAGGAGAAAATAAACAGCACCATTTTTGGTTTTCATCAAAGTCGGACGTCCTCTTTTCGTCGTCAAAAAACACGAACAGCAACCCACACGTGAAAACTAGCGTCGCCCGAACGAATACTGGTCTTCAGTCGACTGTTAGAACAGCCATCTACAGCGCACAAATTTGGCATGACTACCATTTTGCAGAATCCTTCGAGTACCGTGTTCTTTTTTTATTTTATTTTGTTTGCCCATAGTTGCTCGTTGCCTGTTTCACGTCCAGCATAGCAAAGAAAAAAACAATTATGCTGCTTTATTTATGGTTTAGTAATAATTTTCGGTCCGGTTTATGCTTTTCATGGTTACTCAAGCAGAAATTAGAACAGTATTCTGAACCAAACCGTGACCGAGGGCACGTCTCGTTTCGACCAATCGCTGATGTGTCTCTTGTGACGTCGTGCTTCTTGGCCCACAACGGTCACGTGAGCTCCGCTTCTCCTGGCTTCTCCCGCAACTCTGAGGGCGTCGCCCCAGTCGATCTTGGTACGATTATTACCACGACTGTTTAATTGGTTTGCGCGGCACATAAGTGCCGGTTTCGGCTGAAATTTGGGCAACGTGGCCTGAGACGTGCCTTGAACCCAGTTCAATCGCCTAAAAGATGTCCGAAATCGCCTTCATTGTCCCTTTAAAGACCCTGCGCTAGCAGTGGTACACCACTGGTTAAAATTTTTCATTTGCAGCGAACGCATGCCTGCTGTTGGAGCTCTTCAACTTTTACTACATTTCCTGATGCGCTGTGGAACATTTCATAGTCGCCAAAAGGAGAAAATTTGTGAGCAGACGACTTCCCATGTCAAAGTGGAGCTGTGGCAGAGGTCTGCTGCAAAATGAATCGACAGAAATGCTCGACACTGATGCTGGGTGTGCTCAGTGTTCACGTTTTGTCATGTATTTTCCTTGTCTTTTGTACAGTGTGGAACTTCATATTTTTTTTACAAAATATGATGCTTCATTTTCATGACAATGCTAAGCAGGTATGACATATGATCTATAGTCGGTTACAAGTCCAGATGGTAGGAGAAGCACCTCCCATAAGCGTGATGCGCCCGTTTCAAATCCATCTGCAGTCGAAAGAATAGTTCCCCGGAAACGCCCCTTGTTTTGCTTTAATGAATAGATAATGGCTACAGAGTGATGCCAACTTGTCTCCGACCCCCTTTTTTGAGAAAGCGACCTTTGTATTGATCGGAGAGGGAACCGAGCCCCTGAAGATAGCCTTTGTATCCATAGTAGGGGGAACCTAACCCCCTCAAAGTCGTATTTGTTTCCATCGGAGGGGGAAAATTCTAATCTCCCTCTCGTGGCTTCCACAACACTAAGTCAAAGTCGAAAGATAAAGCAGATAATCGCAGGAAGCAAAACCCTCTCCCGCATTATCCACAATGTCACGGAAACAATGGGACGCTATTGAATGCGGACGTGACGGAGGGATATATGAATCCCTTTGAGGAGCATTTGCCGTTACCTTCTTGACCTGTGACTTACTATAGTAGATACTGTAAACAACTTTATTATCGTGGGCTCAATATTTTGCAAATTTGGGGAGATGTAAATTGAGGGAATATTTCATGGGCACAATATTTTGCTAGTATGAGGGTTATGTTTATAGTGTGGTGATATATTCACGAGATAAATGTTTCGCAAATCATTTCAATTTGCGAAAATTTAGTCATTTACAATATACTACAGCTACCTCGTCACGTGGCAGTGGTTAACATTTGCTCTCTGCCCCCACAGACACTTACAGTATGCCTCCTTCGCTTAGTTGGTTCAAAGAATGCAGTTTACAGTTTGTTTTAGCTCATGGTTGACATGGTAACAGCAGCTATGTCCTATGCTTGCCTTCTTTCGTGATAAACGTACCGCTGCATATTTACGTCGAAAAAGCAGTAAGTTTGGGGTTTGGTAAATGTAGTGGTGATCGCACTAGAGGCACCATTTTGTCTGCGTGCACTGAAACGACAGAATTTGGCCACTTGAGTGATCATTCGCATGCCGTGGAGTCCGCCTCAAAGATATACTCTCAACCAACACTGTCAACAATGTTCTCAGTGCATTTTGAGAAAAATATGGTGTATAACAGATAAAATGGAAGAAAGACAATACCACTGGCAGTTTGCTCAATAATGGCATCCTTGCGAGAAGCATGATAGCCATCTGCCCAAGCTTCCTTGTCTTCTGTACCAATCTCCAACAGCACTCCTGCGACACACAGTGCCCTTTCGCTCTGCTGCCACAGTCATCGCTGACAAAGCTCGCGCTCCTCGGGTGCGCAACACACTGCTTGGCGTTCTAGTATACTGTAGTCTGGCCAATGCTTATGGCTTAATCCTGAAGAAAGCCAGAAGCCATAGTCGAAGGCATTGCTTGTGGCTTCGTCCTGGTCAAAGCCAGTGCTTGTGACTTAATCCTGGTCAAAGCCAGGAGCCGTAGTTAAAGCCAGTACTCGTGACTTAATCCTGGTCAAAGCCAGAAGCCGCGGTCAAAGCCAGGGCTTGCGGCTTAATCCTGGTCAACGCCACAAACCGTAGTCGAAGCCAGAGTTAGTGGCATAATTCTGGCCGAAGCCACAAGCCGTAGTCAAAGCCAGTGCTTGTGGCTTGATCCCGGTCAAAGCCAGAAGCCGGTAGTCAAAGCCAGTGCTTGCAACTTAATCCTGGTCAACACCACAAGCTATCGCAAGACGACCTGGCGACGTGCAACAGCGTGTTTCTCTTTGCAGGATCTCGGTGAGGGTGGGCAGCAGTTTCCACGACCTTCAAGAACTGGAAGCGATTGACCTCAACGAGCCGACGGGCTGGGTGCACATCTCCACGCGGGACACCAGCGGCCGTCCGATCCGTACCTTCTTCGTCCAGATCGCTGTCCTGTCCAACCACCAGAACGGACGGGACACGCATCTGCGGCAGATCAAAGTCCACTCGCCGGTTGAACAGGCCAGCGTCAGTATTTTGCCCAAGGTCAGCTTTACGAGCGTCGAGTGCTGCGCCTTCAGTTCAATTCGTTGAAGCAACCTTGACTGTGCGCGTTTTCCGCTGCCTCCCCGCCCACGATTGGATTCGATTGTGGCGACAGCTCAAAAACTGGATCTAGCCTAAACACTTTAAAGAAAAAGGTTATTCTGAGCACCCTAACGTCTCTTAAGGCTCAAAAACTTGTTGAGGCAGCCTCGTTTCCGGCGTTTTCCCAACGGCAAAAAGATGGATGACAGGCTCAAATCTGAAAAGGAACTGATCTCCTCGGTACTTGTAACCATGCAGAAGGACCCCACAGTATCGGAGTTCCTCACGGAGTACCGTCAGATGGTGGAGCGCGAGTTTCCCTTTCGAGACTACGGCTGCAGCAGCGTCTTGGAGTTGTTTGAGATGATTCAGGACACGGTCACAATCATCAAGCGGCCTTACGGCGAGCCAATCATTCGTCTCAGAGTGGACGAGAGCTTCGAACACATCAGCAACCTCGTTAAGACCCAGAGAAAGTCGCCAGTCAAGCGCACCACTCGCAGCAAGTTTAACACTACGAGACAGTTTGTTCCGACTAAGCGACCTCTTCTCAGGAGGCCCCCGCCCCAGGTGTCTTCTTGGTCTCAGAAGGCTCTTACCCCCACTGCTCTGCAAGGTCGTCAAAAAGGAGTTGGTGTTGTGTCCCAGTCCAAGCCAGTGGAGCGGCTGCACTTCAGAGCTTTGAACAGTGTCAAACAAGAGCTGCCAAGCCCTGCACAAAGGACCAGGTGCGTGGACTTCTCGTGCCAGACAGACCTGGAATCCCCGGAAATCCTCGATGCTCCAAATGTAAGCCTTGACCGTGAAGGCTCCCTTGCTGACAAGGAAAGGGAGGACCGTCTGTTTTGTGAAAGGCTTTACTTGGGTGCTGCAAAAGCTAGTGGTAACATTGTCAAAAAATGGCAGGCAAGCAACAATCCGCCAGCGAGAACGTTTCACACTCCGGTGGAAAGCTTGCCCGTGCCAATTCCCTGTGTGCGACGACTGGTTCCAAACCAGCAGAGCAGCCAATTAACTCCAGTTGGCCCAGCTTGGGGTGTAGCACCGGGTCCCGTGGTGCTGAGTCCACAGCATTACGTGATTCACAATAGCATCCCCCTGGCATGTGCCCCCATGGTTTCTGCTTCTTATCCGACTTGGCAAAGTCCGAAACATTCGAGTCTCAACCCCCATGCCACCGAGTATGTGCCAGAAATTTTTGATCGCTCGGGCACAGAGCTGCAAGCGGAGGAGAGACCAGAGCTGGTGGACCAATGGACAAGCACAGCCGACTTGTGCAAGGCTGCGCACGCTCACACCAGCACGGACGACCTGCCAGAAGGAACCTCGGACGAGGTGATTCGGGCTGTCAAGGCTCTTCTTCAGATGCACCCGGCTGGCTTGGAAGTTGGGGAATTGATCGGTCTCTGTCGGCTCGAGACTGGAAAAGATTCCTGGGGGGAGACGGAGAGTCCTCTGGAGTTTGCTCGTGCGCTCTTGGCAAGTGGGTCTTCGATATCGATCAACAGCTTCGAGCCCGGAAAGCTCGTGGTCAAATCTCTCAAAAGTGGTTCGTGCCCGGATAAGCCTTCCGCTACGATTCCGAAAGAGGTTGCTCACGGGCTTACGTCGATCTTGCTTCGTTATCCGGATGGCCTAGACGCGAAAGAGTTGCTGAACGTGTACAGAAAGCACTTTGCTCCGCACGAATATCTTGACGGAGCTTCAGCAAATCCGGCCAACTTTGCGCGTGACCTCTTGGTTAGTGTGCCCACCATGACAGTAACGTCCAAAGGTGAGGACATCTTCTGGGTCAAGCTGTCTGCCAAAGTCTGCCAGTCGAGTAGTGGTCGCAACAAGGACGCGAAGGGTTTAGGATTGAGTTCCAGCATCGACGAATCTGACACGTCGGAGGACGAGGGCTCCTTTGACAAGCAAGAACTTCCCCAGACGCGAGACTTTCTCGTCGTCATCGGAGAAGTCTTCGACCCCACAGAGTTCTACATCCTTAACTTCGCCACGGTCTCGATGCTCCAAAGCATGATGGCCGAGCTGGACAAGTTCTACTCCACGGCACCGCTCCCGTTCTACTCAGTGAACAGGAAGAACCTCAAGGCAGGCTACGCGTGTGCGGCGCCCTACGTGATCCACGGCAAGCCGTTTTGGCACAGGGCAGTGGTGACGTACGTGAAGGCTCCCAAGGTCTGTGTCCGTTACGTCGACTACGGCACGGTGAAGAATGTCAAGATTGAAGAGCTGCGCAGGCTTCGCCCCGACTTCATGGAACTTCCTGCGCAAGGGATCAGGGCGTCGCTCGCAAACCTGAAGCCAAAGGGTTTGAACACCTGGTCCGTCGAGGCCAAGAGGCGCTTCCTGGCGTTGACCAAGGCGACCGGACTTAGCTGTACCGTCGTCGAGCAACGGGAGGACGTCGTCGTGATTGAACTCGCCACGGCTCTTGACAGTGTGTCCTGCTCCATCGGCGACATACTCGTGGAAGAAGGGTTTGCTCGTCGGGTACCAAAATACATAGAATCCTGCCAACTCGCGGAAGACTACAAGGTGAAGCTGGTCGTCCTGAACAATGTCCGCTACATGACCGGTGCTGCCATCTCTAGGCTTTTCGGTTGGGATCAGGCCGAGTGCAGCCTCAGGCTACAGAACCTTGTGCTTCCGAGCGTGTTCAAGACCTGCTCCACTGTGTTCGTGGGCAAGCAAGAACTGCCCGAACTCCACGAGCAGATCTGTGAAAGCGAAGACTCTCTGTGTCCAAGCGATGTGGAGCTTTATCCTCTGGAGCAGCTGCCCACCATCCTCAGGCTTCTGGAGCACCCTTCGAAGACGCTCAGGAGGGAGATTCAGAAGCTGGCGGACGGCACCAATGGCTACTCGAGCGACGAGACGACACATTTTCTGGACATGTCCGAAGAAGATGACGAAGAGGAAGAATGCGACAGCATACTCAGACGCAACGGGAAAAGGAGGGACCTCGTGGCCAAGCTCGAGTCCTTTACAGAACGGCGACGGATCCTCAGAATGAGGGCTTACGAAGCAGACGACAGGGAAGCGTTGTCGCAGTTGCCACACGTCGAGAGGCAGATCAGCTCGGTGAGGTCCCTCTTGGAGGAGTTTGATCGCATTCCGTCGGTCTCGACATCACAGTATTCAATGTCGGCACAACAGTCATTGTCGAGTCCTAGTCCCATGCCCAGCGTTCTGGACACTGCCACGGCGTCCCGGCGGAACAGTGGTGGCCCTGTGCAGGATCCGGACGTCTCAGTTTCGCTGCAGAACAAACTGTTGGAAATGCTTATATCTGCAAAAAGGGGAATGTGAGGAGCGATCTAACTGCGTGCGAGTGTACGTTTCTTTTACCCTTCTTACCGTGTGGCAGATTGTTCAATCATGCTTGAATGAATGTCGAGCTCTGTTTTAAAAAGGTGCGTTCGTGAGCGAGAGCTCTACAGCGACGACGGGGCAGACAGACTGATTACCCAAACCTCTGCCCCATGGGGCATCGGTAAGAGCCGTGACTGCAATTGCTGCTGACGTTCAGGAGGCCGCAAGAAATGACCGCACTCGGTTTGACGTTAGGTCTGACCGCAGCAGATGTAATGTGATAGAGCTAATCAAGCAGTGTCAGAAGTGCACAGTCACGGTTGCTGGTCGTCTTTGCATGTTTTTCTTATCACCGCTAAAGCAATCACGTGCAGCAAAAGCTTGGGATTGTGGGGCATTCACTGTGCACGATTGGTTTAGCCGGGAATCGCAAACGCACGAAGATGACGAGCGCCGCAGCGATGCACTTTCGGAGCTGCTCTATTGGCTCCCCCCAATCATACCGTCAGCTGCGGTCATACTAAATGGGAAATGGAGTGTAGATGCAAGGTGGGGAGGGTTTCATATTTTCACTTCACAAGAATGGGACAACAAGGTTACGACCTCAATGCCTGGCGCTTCTTGTTTAGGTCAAGCATGCCTCATCGTCCAAGTGTTTTTTAGTTCATGGCCGGAAGTCAACCACATCGTGTGACTGGACGACGAAAAAAATCCAAAGCAAGTGCCCTAAAGGCTGAAGAAAGTGCTGCACACAGTAGACAATGGCCTAGTTGGAGACCCTTCAATGAGGAAAAATAATTCTTTCGTTTTAATAATCTAACAACGTTTTAGAGGATGCTTCAGCTGAACTGTCACTTTTTCGAGTGTACCAGTTGTTGCCTCCCCACTTTATGGAAATAACTTGACAGACAGAGTGGACAGTTGTTTCACTGCCAGGAAATAGGCCAGAGGTCGATGGCAAGAACGTTTCAGCAAATAAAGAAAGAACGACGGTGGCGAAGGTTCTGGTTCGGTTCCGGTTCGACGCTCTGGTGCGATTTGCTCTCGACGAGCAAGTGAATGCTCTCTGGTGCGAGGAGTTCCAAAGGATGCAATAGGCCCGCCGACATTTTCTTTGACCGGGGACTGATGAACCGGGTTCTGAAACTGGCATTCGCTGAAGAGTTTCTAATGTTTCGAACGGTTGACTGAGGTAAGTTCTGTGCGGAAACTTGTGAAACCACACGAAAGAACTAAGCTTAAAGATGAGCATGAGCTGCTGTTCGTACATCTGTACGAAGACCAGCAAACTTGCCCGTTTTCTTGAGTTACGTCGCGATTGCTTTCATCTGCTTATGCCACAAGTCACCGGGACATCTGTGTGTCCTTGTAGTGCATTGCAGCAGGTGAAGAACGAAGTAGAAGCTCCTCCTGCCTCCACTTTAGCGGATTGAGCGCTGGAGAGGACGTCTCCTCTCCAGCGTTCGCTCTGCTAAAGTGGAAAGAGGTGGGAGGAGCTTTTACTTCGTTCTTAACCTCTTGCCAACTATAGGCGTGGCTACCAGTTTGAGATAACCTAGCATGCAACGTTTGAGACGAGTGATTTAGTGACTTATCCATAGGGATGCCGCAAACTTTTTGCGAACTCGAGATTCTAAGACTGAACCAGGGGTTTGAAAAGATCGCAAAGTTTCGAAACTTCGAACTTATTATATAAATAATTTAACGTTTTTCTAACGTTTGAATTTTTGGCACTGAGAAATTTGATTGTTTTCAAACTTCCGATTTTTCACGCTATGAAAATTGACATTTTTGAACTTGTTACGCTAAGAAATTATACGTTTTTCGACCTTTCGACCGTTACAAGTTCATAAGTTTGACGAACTTCTGAACAAAAGTTTGAACCAAGTTTACCTCCACAGTTTCCAGGCAGCAAATATAACACAAGGTGTCAATGTGTGAAGTCGAGTTAAAATTGCAGTCAAAGTCTTACCATTAGCAGATTGTGCCACAAAAATTGCGCCCCCCCCCCCCCCCCCCTTTTTTCCCCTGCTGTCGTCCTGTTCTTTTACTTTATCTACCAACACCTCCAATTTGCAACACACTGCAAAGTGATTCATCCTGTCGCACTTGTTGCACTTTTTCTTGTATGCCAAGCACTTCCGTGGGTCGTGTTTCCGGTCGCACTTGGGACAATTTTTTTCCGTCGGTTGGACTTTCCGCTTATGCATCTTCGTTCTCTTTTTTTTTTTGTCTACCTCGTCGACACGTCGGGGACCGTCGAGAATTTCATTTTGTGCTCGAAGAACCTCATCGGCCTTTCCGAGCTGTATGGCCTTTTCCAATGTCAGATCTTCACGCAACAAACGCTCGCGCAATTTTTTTGTCAGTTACCCCACATACGATTTGATTTCTTACCATGGAGTCCGACAAAGTCGAGAAGTATGATTTCTTTTTCAGTTGTAGCTCTCGCACGAACTGTTCAAACGGCTCACCGCTTTTTTGTTTTCATGAACGAAAAACATACCTTTCGTATGTTTCATTTTCCAGGGGCATACAGCACTCTTCAAACTTCTTCCGTACTGTCTGGTAGTCCTGTTTTTCTTCAGGTGCGAAGGAAAAGGTGTCGGAGACTTCAATGGGATCGGGTCCCGTCACATGAAGCAAGATGGCTGCCCTTTGTTCGTTGTTTCGCTTGGTGGTCTTGTCGCCCTTAGGTACAGTTCCACACGTTGTCTGAACCGTTACCAGTTCCCCGCTATGTTTCCTGTCAAGTTCAGGCCCTCGGGAGGCTTGAGTATGTCTATGGTTCGGCTTCCTTAGTTTACTGCGTTTTTCCTGGAACGGGTCACTTCTGACACCATACATTGAGTTTGTCTTGTATCTAAACTGGTTTATTGAGGTTGCCAGGCTGCTCTTTACAGCTGACTGAAACTGGACATTAACGTCAGATCTGACACAGCTTCAGCAACCAGAAGTTGGGACGCCCCAACACTCACATTCGCTCGTGCTCTTTGCCAGCATTTCTACGACCAACTGCCAGGATCGCGACATCCGACAGCAGGACACTCCGGGTTCTGTGACGTCATTTGGTGGCACTTTGGGACTGCTTTTGACGTATGGGCGGGATGGGACGCTAAACACACCAGTAGGGACGGGCTCCAGGCACCATAATTTCAAAACATGCTGTCAAGTAATGTCACATCACGTGGACCCGTGACGTCATGTGACGTAGTCGCGTGACTCGCTGCGTCAAATCAATTTAAATTTAGAATGTCATTAGATTTATTAGCGTTGTTTACACCATGGCTTCACATGACATCACGACTTCACACCGCAAGTCATGTTGCACCCTAACATACTCTATGGTCATGAGCTGGAGTCGAGTGCTCCGGTTCATGACAATCAGCATCGCCCAGCATTCGCATAATGGGTCATGTTCAATTAAAGAAGGGGAATAGCAGAACTCTAACAATGCCTGGAGCTCAGCCCATGCTCTATGCTCTGCCAACCCCAGAGCATGACTATGACAAACACTGACATATATATATATTTAGCATCAGTTCACGTGGCCGCTTATTCTAATTGCGACTTGAGGGTGGGGGGAGAGAGAGAGAGAGCTGTTCCTTTTTATTTTTTCTTCGTCTACCATTGCACGGAGAGGAAAACTAATGGGTATTTTTGCAAGTTATCAACATCAGGGATTCATTCCTTTGCGGCATTTACGGAAAGTGCAAAAGTTGTTGCGCGACCCATTTTACACGTTCACATCATTGAGGCACCCAAACATGTTTCCATTGTTACTGAACGGCCTCAGAAAGTTGTCCCCGAAAATAGAAGCATTGAAACGACTAAATGTGACTTGTTAATCCGACGTTACATAGAACTACAGCTGTGTACGGGAGGGATACTTGAAAAGAAAGATCCCAGTGACCTCGGAAAGACATCAGATCATTGCCCCAGAGTGTCGTTCTCAAATGTTTCCCCAACCTTCGCCCACCTCTGTATTTTAATTCGTGGGTACAAAATCAAAGCAATGGAGAATTACTGTAAACAAGTGACAGAAATATAATTGTTGAAATAAACACCCCCAAACCTCAGGAATAAAAAAGTCATCTCTGCAAAAGCAACCAAAAAAGAAAAAAAAAGGGGGGGGGGGTATTTTTGCCAGAAGGCATGGCCCTGGAAACTACTATCTCTGCAAAACATAATCTTGCCAGAAAGTGAGTTGTCGTGGTGCTAGACGCTCGCGCCGTTCCTCACGACGCTACACCAAGCAAGAATATTTTGTTTCTCTCAAGTGCATGGCTTGCACTGAGCGCGAACTGGCGCAAACCTTCTGCAGCGTGCATTTTGCACCACCTGATTTCATTTTCTCACCAAGAACAAATCGCACTTACCACCAGCGTAAAGTGTGATGACGTCACGTGCAAGCCATTTAAAACAGTTCATTTTCCTGGTAAAATGCGAGCTTCGCATTTTCGCGGTTATCTTGCTCATCGCCAGCCTCGGCCATTGGTTTTTAGCGTTTTTGCGTTCAGCAAGCTAGTGATTTCCCTACACACCGCCTAAGGTAGCTGTACACCCCCCCCCCCCCCCCCTCCCCCCAACTTGCTTTTCTGAAGGCACCCCCTTAAAGGGCAACTCCGCTTGATTTCGGAAATATTGAGATAGTGGGTGATATAAACGTGAAAAGTACTTCAAAACAACCCTAGGCCGTTTGTCTCATTAAAAGCAAAATATTTTTCGTGCGATCTTGTTATTTACCATAATCGCAAACCGAAACTGAAACTTCGGCACAGCCGGGCAACATTGTACCCTCAACGTCAGATGCATACGCACCCACGTGGAATACAAGGGGTCACATGATCTACTAGCGGTAACCCAAGAAGGACGCGGATGCGAGGGGAAGGGCGAGGAGGCAAGGGCGGGCCTAGCCGCGGCGCCGAACAGGCAACGCAAGCAGCAACGAAGCAGGCTATGTAGGCGGCAACCCAGGCGGCTAGTCGGTTGGCACCGATTGGCAGGTGTGTCAGCGAAACTCATCCCGTACAACTCTCTCTCCCTCTTTTTGTTTCTCTTGTTCTCGTTCATTCTTTTTTTTTTTTTTTGTCTGTCTCGCCCACTGATCTCTATTGTAGCAGGCTCGCCTCTTTGCTTGCTCAAACGTGGAGCGCGTCCGTAGCGCCACCCGGTAAGCTCTCCCTGGAAAAGAAAATACCAAGAAAAAAAAACTGCATATGCAACAGACGTCAGCCACAACGGAAATACAACGTTGGCTGCGCCGCACGTCGCCCGCTAAATTAGCGGATTTTGGTGACTTCGCGCGTCTCAGTTTTTGTCGGCCGGTTTAGTGATCTTTTAGGCGGTATTACGTTATAATATTTGACATTCGGTCTCTTTAGATGACACTAAAGAGAGTCGCAGTGTTTGGTAACAACCGAGAATGAAGCGGAGTTTCCCTTTAATTTGCAACGACTCCTCTATTCTCAATGCACCCCCCCCCCCCCTTCCTAAAGTTTGGACACCCCCCTAATTTCAATTCCTGTGGGAACCCCTGCAGCAAGCCACCCGGGAGCGAGCTCGTAAACAAAATAGGCTGGTATTGGACCAGGGTGTAAGATAGACAGGTGGGGAAACGAGAGCCAAATGAGCGACCGGATTGTGTCCCCCTCGGGTTTTTTGTCTGTGGCGCCATTTATGTGGAGCACCGCGAACTCTCACTCCAGGTGGGCGACCGGTGCCGACCGGCTAAACTGACAGAGATGGTTTCTGGTGGATCTTCAATGGAGGACTGTCGTGCTCTCGTTTTATTTTGCGCACTCTCCCATAAAGTTCCATGCAAATCTGATTCCGATTTTTTTCCTCTCGCCGCAGCGCCATCTGTCGCAAATCGGGGGTACCCGCAAACAGACGAGTACACAATCCGGTCACGGCGCTGCGGTAGGCTTCTATGGGCCGTTTCCCCACCTGTCTATCTTACACCCTGTATTGAACATAACAGATGCACGGTCTCCG